CACTGCACAGGGAGCAGGTCTCTATGGAGCTGTGCTGTGCACTCTTCCCTGATGTTCCCTTGGGTTTTTTTTGGCACAGTTTGGGGAGGTCACCAGGCCAGCTGACATTGTATTGATCTTTCTAGCCATGTTCTGGTCAAACACAAGCCAAAGCAATCCTGTGCAAGCTGGCACTCAAGTGGATGTAGCTGCAAACACCCTTATGCTTCGACAGGGTGAATTCCTTCACATTTTTCCAGGTTTCAGGACCAAATGCATTTCCTGTCTCTGTGCCAGTGAAAAGCAATGAGGCACCGGTCAAAACCTAAGCCCCGTTATCTTGGCAGATGCTGACAAGGATGGATGGGGACAGGACTTGGGAGACGGGATGGGAGACAACCTGCACCCGCTTTGGCTTTGAAGCACCAGCGCGATGTCGGGTGGCCTCGGGACCATGGGGTGCGCTTGCACTCACCTCCATTGGCCCCGTATTTACCATGGCTGGAAATTAATTGCTTTCGAGAAGATACTTTAACCTCTTATCCCATATGCCTCTTTCGTGTGTTTTTCAGGGCTAGGCTACTAAACGCAATGATACCCGTGAGGATCTTTTTTCCTGCCCCAGCGGCTTTCTTGCCTTTCCTGTGTATGTCAAGGGCGGGGGGTGATGCAGTTCTTTATATTCTTATTAAACGGTGTTGGCAGGATACAGGATTTGCTCCATGGCTGCAGGCAGCACAGGTTGGGTTTTCACATCGCTGCTTGGTTCTCCAGAGGCTGTTGCTGCTGCAGAGAGGAGCAGGGCTGTGTGCAGGACCCCTGTGCGCAATGGGAGCTGTGGGCACCAGGTCAACCTAGGACTTTTTCAAAGCATTTATGAGCAGAAGATGTAGAAAATTTTCTCCTGTGCAAAACAGGGACAGGTAGGAACAAGCTCTCTAAGGGCAAAGCATCCTGAAGACTAGTGCAAAGCAGGGCAAGACACTGGGCTTTAGGCCCACAGGAAAATGGGGTTTCATTCAGCTGACTCAAGGCTACCACAGAGGAGGTGACTCCCATCCTGAGGTCCGAATTGCCCTGCTGCGCTTTGGCACCCCCAGCATCTCCCCGGGCTCCTCACGTTTTGGCGCTGTGGAGCTCGGCGCCAGCCGGTGCCTTCCCCGCGGCCGCCTCCGCGCTGAGGAGCGGGACGGGCCCTGCAGGCCGCGAGCGCCTCCCACCTTTCCGAGCACTAACACCATGATTATTCTGTCTAAATAACGTCCAGGCGCTGGCCTCTGTATTACCTATCTTAGACATGATTTAGTGCTGTAATAAATTAACCCTTAAGGCAAAGAATCAAAAATAATTGGCCTTATATCCTGGTCTTCATTTTATCCTCTGTTCCTTCTCACTTTCTAGGTGTCCTTCTCTTTCTTGCTCTCTTTCTTTATTCATTCTCGGGCACTTTTTTTTTCCCTCCTCAGTGGCCTCTTTCTGGTTCTTTCCTGCTCCTTCTGTTCTTTGGATGATGGACCCAGTCTCTTTCCTTTACTTTCTCCTTCCCCAAAAGTGCTCCACCAGCCTGTGAATTTAACCCCAATATGAGGGTGTATCATATATGTGTCTATATGCTGGGATCTATCAGCATCTATCCTTAGTCACTCAACCTTTCAGTGTCACTAGCTCCCATCAGATCCCTCATGCAACCATTAGCTCCCTGTGCGGGAGGCCAAGGACCTGGCAGGTGAAGCAGCCAGGAGGGAGGATTAAGAAGGGTGGATAGGGCAGAAGGTCTCTGAGTGATTAAAAAAAAAAAAAATGAGGATTTGGGGGACAGCCTGAAAAAAAAACAGTAGAACAAGTATCTTTCTGATGCAATGACAAGGTAAACACATTTAAAAAATGGCTTGCAGAGCTCTTTGCAAGAGGGGGATGTTGGCTTGAAATGCAAGAGGCCAAGGGTGTGCGTGGGATGGGGTGGTTGCTGTTTGCATGGGGGCACCCAGCACTGCCCGCCCAGGTACCCGGGGGCTTTATTTTATGCCAGAGGGAACGTCTTGCTGGGGGGAACCTCCTGCAGCGTTGGCCAGGGAAAGGGCCGCTCTGCTTGTGCATTTGCTGCATTTTATTTGCTTCCTTGGAGGGCCTGTTGCAAGGCTGCACTGGTGCCTCGTGCTGCATTTTGCACTTAAAACAGGAGCATGAGGGGCAAAAACGCACATTTTTGTGTGCAGGAAAAAGGTCATGGAAGTGTGATTTTTTTTTTATTATTATTATTATTTTTCCCTTGCAAGTAAATAAGCCAAGACTCTGTTAATCAGCCTTGGCTCCAGCTCCCAGCTTGTTAACAGTACCTGTGCTCACGAGCCCAGGTTTTATCCGGCGGGTGGGTTTGGGTTTATTCTGCTGTCGGGTGAGCCGGGGCCACGTTGCAGTGTTTTCCTTGCCCTCAAGCACAACTTGCTCTTGCCATCTAGTGGCTGTCCCCACAAAGAAGCCCAGAGCCCAGCCCTGGGGAGCCAGGGACAGCCCTGGGCTGCTTGGGGATGGCTCTGTCCTGCCATGCAGCAGCGTGTCCCATCGCTCGCAAAAACGAGCTTGTTGCATGGCCCAAAATACCCCCAAGCTCCCGTGCTTTTGCTTCTAAGCATGCAACTGCATTATTTTTAATACAAGCAGCTACCTGTGTTTTTGAATAATACTTGTATTTGTTCCCTTTGGTCACTGTCATGGTACCTCTTCCACATTCCTCCCTCTCAGCCACATTTTGACCCACCTTGCACAGAAAACCCAAGGATGGCCAGGAATGTGCTGAGCAAATGAGCCCCTCCTTGCATCCCATTTGCTTACGCAGCTGATTTTTTTCCCCTGTATAATTATTTCTAAAGGAAAATGTGGTTTTGCTCAATGGCAACCAAGTTTAACACTCCATAAGCTTTGTCTGTTTGCAGCCCTCCATCTGGAAGGCGTTTTTCTTTCTTTCTTTCTTTCTTTCGTTAATTATTTTTAAACCAGCCCAGTAAATTGCCTGTGTTTAAGAGGCGCTTCTCATTAAGATGAAATACTTTGATCTCGCAGAATCATCTCTTTTTAAAGAGGTGACGATATATTACAAATTTTGGGGGGGATAACCCAATTTCAGCAGTGAGGCTGAACCCTGCCTGGAGAGGATGCACAGGGTAGTGTAAAGTGGCTGCAGCTCTTGCAGATGATCAGAAAGAAAAAGAGGTCAGGAGAGGAGCTCTGAGCAGGCACAGCAGGGGGACATGAAGAAATAAGTGGTAAATCAGCTCTGGAATGGAAAATATTTATTTATTTTTAAGTACAGATGGTGTGGAAATAGGAAAGGCTGTAAGAAGACCAAGAGAATTGGGTGCCTATATATAGATGTACAGCTGTTTCCTTCAGGTGTTATAACTCAAAAAACGTAGGATGATTAATTTTGAAAGTTGAAATGTATAGCAGATTCTGATTACATCTGAGTGTCTATAATTTAGCTACTTAGTAAAATTAACTTGACGTTTTTAGTGAGCTGTGAGGACAATAACGTGTGAAGAGACTGAAGTGCAAGTTTGACTGCGTGCTCTTTCCTTGCCTCCCCCCGTCTCCATTTGCAAAGTTTATTTTTAACTTTTTCATTTTTTTCCAGCATATTTCCTCTAATCTAGACGAATGAATTTGCTTCCCCCTGCTGCCAGCGAAGCCGACAACATTTTGGTCTTGACTGTGCGTTTCCCTGGATGGCCGAGAGTTGCGGGTGCGACTCGGGCTTCGTGTTATTTTTCCTTAATAAAAATTCACTTGCATGCACAGCAGCGGCAGGGAAAACTTCTGCAAGGTTGGAATAGGACAGACCATCCCCCTGATGGGTACAGAGCAGATTATCTGCACCTTGGGCTGTGCTGGCACTTGTGCAGGATTGGGGAGCACCGCTCTGCCCCCAGGGAAAGGCACAGCCCCAGCCATTTCCTATCAGGTCCAGCTACAAGATGCAGCCTGTCCTTGCAGGGCTCAAAGGATGGACACTGGGATATCAACGGGAGCAGCACGTTGCCTGTGACCAGCCCTGATGGCTCCAGGAGCCAACACTGAGGGCAAACTCGGCCCCAGGCAGGATGAGTGGAGCACACGGGGTGCACAACGGACAGGTTTTATGATAACGTTCTCTTGCCTGGTCAAAATATTCCTATTATCTATATCAATATAACACCCCTAATAAAAGATTTCTTTAAATTCAAGAAATATTCTTACATGTTTTCAGGAGAAGAATGGCTTGTAGAACTGTGTCCCTCAAAATAATCTCCTTCCTCTCTGTGCAGTGTTTAACATTTTGCCAGTGGCAAAATCTCTGTGGATCAGGACTTCCTGAAAGGCAGGTTCCAGCATCCGCACTGAGTCCTGACAAGTTCTTCCACCCTACCTGACAAGGCTGCAGGTATGGACTAATTTCCATCATTCCCAGGGAATAAATGATCCACGCCAGCTCCTGTGAACGTTGCCATCACTCGGCACTTTGTTCAGTAAGTGCTCACATTTTTGCTGTTTTAAACAAAATAACACACACAGATCTGTGGTTGTTTTTAACTTTAATGAATTCCGGGTTCTAAGTAACATTTTCAGACCTAGCATCAAATCTAAGTTTCTAATAAGACAATGAGAAAGCTCAGCATCAGGTGGCTTCCAGCAGAACCTTCCAGGTGTAGGTTTAAAATGCTCTCAAATACTGAACATTTCTCACAGTGCTACAAAACAATGACAAGTGGCAGAACTAAGTATTTTTTTTAAACTACGTTATTTAATTTTAGCCATCTAGAAACAGTTGAGAGGAGGATCGTGCTCTTGATTCTTTCTGGAACTGTTTAACATAAGAAGTAAAAATATAAAATTTCAAAGGAGCCAACTTTAAAAAAAAAAAAAAGTTTTTTTCTTCAACACTTCCAGTACCGATTTCTGTAATAAATATTAAAAACTATCCCTTTTTTTGTTGTTAAATAAGTTATTTACCAAAAGCTTTGCTTTCTTTTCTTGTTTTTTTTTTCTTTCTTTTTTCTTTTTTTCTAGACAAAGACTGACTGCAATAAAAGAGCTAAATGAACATTTTTACATCAATAAATAGTAAGGCACGAAGAATCAAACAATAAGCACGGGAACAGTCTTTATTAACGGACCTTTCTCCTTCAGAGAATCCTTTTTTTGTTGGTAAAGGAAGCCGCTTTTTGATTCTCCGCTGGTTGAACCTGGTTAGAAAAGCAATAATTATTGCTCTATTTTGCAGTACTTCAACTGCACACAATCTGTTCCTAGTGTTGGGCCATAATCCTGCAAAAGGATCCGCAAATATGAACTCCTGTGTTCAGCAGATCTTCAAATTAAAGGATAAGGTTTCTGTAAGCACGGAGACCTTTATGTCATCAACTTAGAACATGGGGAGGGATGAGAAAACAGCAGAGCAGCTGCTAAAGGAAGAGCTTTGATAAGGCCACTGTTGTCAAAGACAATGAAGGGAAGATTCATAGAAAATTTAAGGGCATCTGGGAAATGTACCATCAGTCTGAATGGAATATGCAAGGAGAAGGATGTGATTTAGGATTCAAAAAGTGAATACTTAAGCAGTCAAACTAATACAATATACTGTGTTAGCAATAGTTGTTTACAGCAGCTTTGCCCATTGGGTCTACATTTTTAAGAAAGCAGCACTGGTTATTAAAACATATATAGGCTTTAAATAAGTGTTCTTTTTGTGAGCTTAGCCAGTAAAACAGGTTATTGGAGTGTGACCTGCTGAAACTAAACTACTGGAGGAAGAAGGACATATGAATATTAATCTAGCAAAAGCATCAGAAAAGTTCCTCAGTTACTTAACTAGTTACTTATTCAGTCATAAAACTCTAATTTAAACAATACATATGGGAATATTTATCATGCTTAAACTGCTATCACCTAGAACTGATAATAACATCATGCTCCACTAGTAAACCTAAAGGAAATTAGACTACTTCTAAAGAATAATATCACCGGCTTAAAATGTAAGCTGAAATTTTACTTACTTCCAGGTTTCCTCTAGCTTTCTTCAGGACATCATGGGTTAAAACCACTGGAAAGAAAGAGCAGATTAAACAGAATATGGCAAAGTTCTCTATAAAGTTCTCTCTATTGGAGTCTTATGACTAAATATTAAATAAGATGTATATAAGGCACATGCATTTACAACACAGACAGTGACCAGGTAAACCTTGTTCACCTTCAGTGCTCTTTCCTGCTCCATAGTCTATATTCCATCTAGCCAATAATCAACTTCTCAGATGTAAACACCATTTGGAAAGTCTTAATTTTGAAGTGTTTCTCCCTTAAGAAGAACTATGTATGTGAAAACATGCACGTCTCACCACTGCCCTTAACATCACAGATGTGCACAGCCCCGTGTGAGACTGGATCCTTTAATCCAAGATCACTGAAGGGGGGAGTCCTTCCACCCATTTTTGGGAAAGATGGCAAATGATGTAACTATGACTTGATGTATTAGACGAGAAGAGGGAAATGGGGAGATGGAGAAGTTTAGGGAGAGGATGGGATGGGAAGAAGAGGACAGATGGTGGAACAAGTCAGCCAGCTCCTCCAGCAGTTCAAGGACAAGGCAACCTCTGTGTGCTTAGAGGAAATAAGTGGTTTGCTCTGATGAGGTCCAAGGTTTCTTTATTTATGCAGCTAGTTTAGCCTCCATGGGGAGAGAAAAAGACCTGTGAATGGAGGAGGGGATGCTGCTAAACAAAACTGGTATTTAGAAATGTCAGGTTAAATATGTGATTCTCTAATCTGTGTCAGCTCCATAACCGCTGAAAAATACCATTCACAAGTACCAATTTAATATTCCAGTCTCAAAAATAAACAATTTAGCCATAATAAAGATTTTTCATTACAATAATAAGAACCCAACAACTCCAAGGGTATAGCTGTCATGAGATAATTATACCCTTGGCAGATTACTGCAATTTGGCTCTGCCTTGTTACATGTTTGGAGGTTCAGAGGAGGTTTTATAAGCAATGAGTTTGCTCCCTCTCCTGAAGAAATAGCACAGAACACTCAGAGCCACAAGAATGTTCCAGTCTCTGCCTCTAAACGTATTGAGGAATGCTGAAGTAAATAACAGTGGGAGCCTGAATATTCTCCATAGAGATGCCCAGCAAAAAGGAATTTTGGAGGGTGGAGGCAGTCAAGGTCACCTCCTGGGATACCTGTAGTTTCTTACTAGCAAAAGGAGAAAGGAAGAAATAAAGAAGTGTATACACAGTAATAAAATTCAGTATCTTCCTATGAGTCACCACATTTGCGGTATGCTTGGTCAGGAATTTGTGTACAGATGCAATTTAGAAACATTTCTAAAATTGCTCTTTAAGGCAAAGGTAACTGATACCCGTAATTCCCATAATCAATGAAACTTACTGAAAATTGTGTCTGGGTCTTTCTGGGTAGCAGAGTGCTCTCCGCTCATGAAGAGCTCTGCTACTAAAATCATTTCATCTGGCAAACCAGATATTTCTAAATCAAAAATATCAAATTCAGTGCATGAAAAGAATTCAGACACTAATAGTGGAGCTGCTGCTAGCCAGGCAGTACTTTGCATTAGGAAAAGGCAGGCTTCATTTTATTAGGACCTAGTTAAGATGAGGTTGAATATGCTGAAAAAGAGTGAGCAAAGAAAGAGGGAGATTTTCTGGTTTGTTTTTGAAGGGGTTGGGGAGAGAGGGTCAGGGTGGTGGCTGTGGGGCTAAGAGGAGGGATCATAAGGCCAAAATCTACAGATTTATGCTCTGCAGAGCCCTACTAGTTACCCAGCAATTCTTCAAGAGATGTTACTGGAACATAAGAACTAACCAAAGTAAATCAGTAAATCTATCCCAGGGATATTATTTGGGCAGACAGACCTAATAAAATAGCTTAAATTTTGTTGTGATAACTCCAAACTGAGCTATTCAATATTTAATCATGACCAAAATATAACTTTGTATTTAATAAAAGTAACTTTTATGTCACTTTATACAATACCTCTGAAAGAAGAGACCAAAAGCAGCCAGTGAATATTGAATCAAAAATCTTCAGGCAGAAAATATATGCAACATTGATATAAAATTGTAGGCTATGGAACAAGATAACATTAAGAGCTCTATGCTGCATTTAAATGACTTGCATAACTAAAAAGTAGTATGGCCATTTTCTTTGTGTGTTGCATAACATCTTAAATTCCAAAATAATTACTCATGAACATGAATGCTATGTTTGCATAGACCAATGAGTCAGTCCTATCGCAAAGAGAATTTAATGACAGAATTTTAAAGGAAAAGAAATCCACCTCCAATAATACACATATTGCCACAGCAACATTTTAAAGCAGAATCTGTACATCTCAAGAAGTTCCTGTGGTCTAGCACAACTGGAATACAGCCCGTCATGCCTGTTTTCATATTTCCATGTAACCTTTCAGAGCTCTTTTAAGAGTAAAATATCGCATTACAGCCTAGAGTCATTTCATTGCTTCTGAACTTAGCTAGTTAGCCATGAAGTGCATAAAGAAAAGCAGCAGCAGCAGGAATGCAGGCATCACCTACACTGATCAATGATGACTTTCTCCATGTTTTCCTTCAGCTGGTTGGTGGAGTGCAGGCGTTTCACTGTGCTGTGTAACTTCTTCTCTTGCTCAGATAGTTTCTTACGCAACCTGAATATTTCTGCTTTCATTCCTTCATCCTAAATTGAAAGGATAAAAATATTATATCAGAACCATTACATATTGCACATGATTAATTCCTCTATACTTTTGTACAGGAGCCCTCAGACTTCTCCAGAGCACAGAAAATTCTTTATAGGAATGCCACATCATTCACTGCTTGTCTCTCCTGCTAGCTGCGACGAGGCAGCAATAATTTAGAGAAAAGTGTTATAATTAATGATGTAGCCTTAGCTGACTTTTATCACAATTATTTGTTAGGATATTCTGGGAAAAGCCTTAACTCGAATGTTTATTTTTGCTTTTAATCTTGCGTTCCTTTCATGACTTTTGCTCTCAACTGGCAAACAAGGCCAGTGCTGAGAGACCAGCAAGTATCCTGTGTGCCAGGTTCAAAACTCGCAGCTTCTTTCTCTAAGGATGGAAATTAACAGTGAATGCTAACTTAATCAAAACGGTGAAAGACACCGAAAGGTTTTTTTTTTTTTTTCAAAATTATTTGATAGCATCATTATTTAAGGTTTAGTTTTCACCACCACTTCCATCCAAGTTAGGGTCAGTATCTTGGAGAAAAGGACCACTAGCAGCCCTGGTTTAGTCTGCAGTGTTGCTGATCTGGATCCTCATGCAAACTGAAACTTGTAAATTTTTTTTTCTTGCTGTTGTACCAGTTGTTAAATAATAATGTCTTCTGGACTTCTCCCCTAGCATTTAGCTCTTCAGAAGAGCTGATTATTCACAGCTCCTGTGGGGCTGAACAGAAGGCAGTGAACACTCAGTATCTTTTAGAATCAAACTTCAAGAGACATTCTTTCATATACAGCATTTAAGACATCAGAGGCAATCAAATGTCCTTAAGATCTGAGCAGATGGGGTAAGAAACTCTAGAGAAGCTTCTATTAGCTTCTATTCTGAGATCTCCAGCGCAGGGGAGATTTCAGGGGACACCAATCCAAATCAAGAAGGTTCAGACCAATAACTATTAGATGCATCACAGATACACTAAAACACATTTGTGCAGCTCTCTGTTACATTCTGATCCTGCAACCCGAGCCAACATATAGCTGTCCATATAAATTTTATGTATATAAAGGTAAAATGTAAGTATACACACTTCTCAAGTCATCCAAAATATGGAAATGAAATATGAGTGATCTGTATTAGATAACACAGTTTATTCTCACTACTTTTATGATTTTACATGTTTAAGGCTACTAAATATTTTTAAATATTATAAAAATGATATATTAAATGTTTGCTTTCCTAAACCTTTATTTTTCCAGCAATATCCTGTCTCCCTGAAGAAACCTCAGGGAAAACATTTCAGATTTATTTTAAAGCCAGAGTTTCAAACAGTTTCAATGTTGAGTGGTAGTATTATGACAGTACAGATAATTCATTCCTCATTCACTTCACTTTTATTCATTTGCCTAGTGCAATCCTTTTTAGTTAAAGTGATATAAAACTTGTCGTGAGTTTTTGTCGCACTTAAAAAAAAAAAAAAAAAAAAACTTCCTATTTTACAGCTTAGGTGTCAAAAACGTAAAAGTAAAATGTAGCTCTGGTTATATCAAAGTTGCTGAAGTTTTTGTTGTATATGTGGCATATACATAACCAAATTGAATTTGTTGTTTTTTTTTTTTTTTTATAACAAGGGAGGCCAACCCTTATCTCATTAAAATTGAATGGTTGTCACCTGCCTACGTCTCCAGACTATGACAAAACAGCTATTACAGACTGCAGCTTTACTGTGAAGTCTTTTGTGAATAAACCCCCCCGTGCACGCCGTGACCAGGACAGAAAACCAGCACATGTTTGGCCTCAGTCTGCAGGGGTTGGAGCTACCTAAACCTGCACAGCCAGACAGCGCAGAATGGGTATCTTGGGTTCACAATCTTCAAAAGATTTCCCCAAATGACATGTTCCTAACTCATCCCTCTTCCCTGCCACGTTCCAACCATTCAAAAGAAGCCCCACAAAACCAACCACAGCAGTACCTGGGCGCCAGGAGCAGCGTTGCCGTGTGCAGCTTTCAGAGGAAGGGAAACTCTCCAGAGCAGTTTCAATAAACGCGCAGCCTCCTCTAAAATCTGCTGCACCGTGTGGACATTTGCAGAAAAGCTACGTGGTGAGGCCTGGTCTGGCACCTGCATCGTGGGATTACAGATTTTACATTTAAAATATTATGAAATTGTCATCTTAATTAATAGTGTAAATCCACTTAGTAAGATTTCATATTTAAGATGATGTACACAGCTACTGGGTGCCACGAGAAAGCTAATTTATTAGTTTAAACAGACTGTTGAATTATACATTATATGAAAATTTGAGGGAGGAAGAGGATTTATTCTAATCAATAGCCATGATTAATAATAGGTTACATTTACTAGATTTGCTGTGGAAATAGTTGGCTACGCTCTTTCTCCATTTGCATTTTGTGTCATGGTATTTGAAAGTCAAATGACTACAGACATCAATTTAAGCAATATAGATGTTTCTTCCTTAGCAGACCCTTTAAACTGTTCCATTTAATGCTAAAATAACTATCAGGACACACATAAAATGTTTTCCTCTGCTGACAAATGAGAAAACCAAATTGAAGAAATTGCATAAATGTGAAATAAAGGAGAAAAAGGAGGGAAAAAAATGCAAGGGAGCAAATAATTTACCGATGCAATTGTGATAGGGAAGGGGGGAGGGTAAGGAAAGAAAAGCATCCAGATTTCCTGCGCCCATCCAACATATCATCTAAATACTTATTTCACATGGAACCCCCCTGTCATGTAAAGCATCCCATTTTCTGAGTAGTCTGAAAATTCAGAGGTGCAAAAGCTGTGCAGGAAACTGCAAATTGTGAAACTTACTCGTTTTTTCTTTACACCACCACCAACAATAAAAGATAGACTATTACAAGGAGGTTACTTTTTTCAGCCATTATTAGTATTTTAACTAGGTCATTTGAATATGATTCTTCAGAGAGCCTTAATTGTCATCCAGACATTGTTTTACTGTGTGCATACATATGATACCACAAAAAGCATTTCAGCACTGTAAACTGCATCTTCAATAGCTTTGCTAATTATAACTACAGAAGAGAAATAGGCAAAATTTAACCATGCAGTTATCAACTCCTGCTTTTTAAGGACCTGTGGGCATGGTCTTTACAACATTTATTTTATCTTAAAATCACATGGGTGAGAGGGACCTTCATTAGTCACCCAGTTCACCTTCCTGCTCCAAGGCAGGAAAACTCTATCTGCAATTTTTCAAAACCATTAATGTAACCTGTTCTTAAAAAAAGTGCCTCCAGTGATAGTGATTCAACAGGGTCCTTGAGCAGGCTCCATTCCAGCATTTCACTGTTTTTACCACTGGCATGTTTCTCAAATGTCTGACCTCAGCTTTTCCTGCCGCAATGTAAGTTTCTTTAGTTCCTTATTATCTGCCATAGACACGCACAGATCCCTCCTTCCCTTTCGCTGCAGCTCGTAGTTAGATTTGTCTTGCTCTGTATCTGTACATCTTGCATTTCTAGGCAAAAATTCCCCATCCCCTAACAGCTGTCACTATTTACCTTGATTCCAGGCTCCGGCAGTTTCATACCAGCGACCTCTCAGAGCATTATAATCCTCAATCAAGCCCAGAACATGCCGCCCGTTTTTGTCTGCCCACATACGATGGCCAGGCACAAGTCGAGGGGTACACGCAGTGCTGGAAGATGAGGTGCTGCTGCAGTGGGAAGTGTTGTCAAAATCGTCTTTAGGTGCTAAGTGTGTGCCTAGGAGAGGGAAAAAAAAGAAGTTTTAACTTTGTCTAGTCTTACATGAAGTACAGATGAACACTAGAGTTGTCTCAAACAGAAAGGCTGGGATAAAGCTGCCTAGTCCTGCTTGTGTTCTTGCTTTTTTTTTTTAGCTGATGTTACATTTGAGGGCAGGAAACAGGGAAACACAGCTGTTTTCTAGTGCTGAGGGCATGCATCTGTCAGCATTTACTTACATTTATGCTTTTAGCATCCATCCAAAGTCCTATGTATCTCTCAAAATCAAGTTGTACTCAGAAAGTCTAAAATACACCCTGAATGAATATGATAAAAATCAACAAATCTAAGCTTCCCATTAACTTTCCATAAAAAGTATGACATTCTTTTCAGCTACGCCATGCATTAGATCCTATGTATATCATCCCTCTTCAGACCTTTCAAATTCCCCAAAAACCTATGAGAAAATAAGACACAGCGGGAAACGTATCACAGTACAACTAAAGTAATAAATTTGGCTGTGACATTCGGAGGAGTCTTCCTGCTCCATATCAAAGTAAACCATCAAACCCGTATCTCAATTTTCTCAAGGAAATAACTAGCTTCTCCAGCTCTTAACTGCTTTATTTGATGTAGGTCAAGAGCAACATCTAGGACACTATCTATAAACTTATCAGGAACAAATGTAATTTGGGGCTATTGGTGGTTTATACTCCTTGCTCCACATCTACTTGATCATGACTGGCTCTAAATAGACATCTCTGTATGAAGCACATGACTAAAGTTATTGTTCAAGCAGGAAGGGCACAGAAAAGGCTTGCAATCTTTAAAATGTATCTGCTACAGTCAGCATCTCCCTTACTCGTACAGAGAGGTGTGGAATCTGTTCATTATGGTTTTCACCTGCTGTAGGGTTCGGATTGGGCACAGTGGATGCTCCAGAGATGCAGGGTGGTAAGAAACCCCGCCGTGTCCCATGCCTTTGAGGCATGAGCTCCACACTGCTCCTCTTATGCCACCTTGTTCTGCGTGGTGCATGTTGTCAGATCAGCACATGTGGGCAAAGTGGAGGGACACAAGAAGTGCCACTGTTAGCCCTTTTCAGAACATGGCATTCCTACATACCTGTACAGTCAGGAGCACCTATACTCATGCTGTAAGTACAGGATGCTGTTACTAGTCAGGGTATGTTAGCAGCATTAGCAAGGAAAAACCTTATTGTGCCCTTTGTACCCATACATATTTACACTGGGACCATAGTCCAACACTGAGGGTAAATATCACATTTTTTCCAATTTGCTAAAATGATATCACTTAACAGTGATTAAAATAAAAATATTCCTCAAAGGCATAGAGGGGACAACTGCTTTAAACAAACATCATCTTGTGCACTTATTGATCATTCCTGAATGCTAGAGCTGTGCATTAAGGAGAAGAATCCCAAGGTAAGCAAAATTTATGGCAATATAATGTAGGCATCCAAAATTTATGGCATCCTTCCATCCCAGATCCTGCCTGTAAATGCCTTTCTGGGATGAAAGGCACCTGCTAGTCAGAGGCTATAGAGAGCACGGTGTGCACTTCACCTCCAGATGCACTAATGGCTCTGACAGGAAAGCACACTGACAGGCTGATAGGTCCCCAATCACACAGTTGATGTTGTGTGAGGCTTTAAGAGAAAAGAAGCATCTTGAAAAGCGATGCACGGATTCTACAGTATCATACAAGCAAGTATGGCACAGTACCATTCATTCCTGCATAATGCTGAGATTCTCGTTTGAAAAGGTAGTTGATATTCACAGCTGACACTGAGCCCACTTCTTCTCTCTTTTCTTTTGAAAGCTGTTCCTCTAATTTCTCATGTAAAGTCTTGTTTGTCTCTATGCTTCTTTCAAGCTGTACTCGCAAACTCTGTATTTCAGTCAAGAGTTCATGTAAGTCAAGTGGATTATTTTGATCTTTTCGAAATTCTTCGGATGCATCGTGTCTGGGATCTGAGAAAATTTTAAACAGAAACACTTCACATCTTTAACAATTAAAATGATCCCGTTATCGAAATGGTGAGCAAGTAAATTACAGCCAGCTTTATCCTCAATATTAAGAATTAGCTACAAACAGCATTGAGATAATGGTTCGACAAAAAAGCAGGTATTAATTGCTTCTATCCTCAAAAGACTTAAAAGAGCTGAAAATTATTTTCACTTTGTCCATAAACGCTAGTAGGTCTCATGCCAAAAGCAAAATTATAATAATAAGAGAATGAAGAGGATTTATAAAATTCGAAGTGCATTAATACACAGTCTGAGGAAAGAAAAGGGAACAGGTATTCTTGGAGTCAGGAGGAGGGATTGAGTACGTTTAATTTTATACACTGAAGGAAGAAAAGAGAACAGTGATCACTTGGCAACCGGAGGAACCTCAGAAAAGCAGGAGCCGTGTTCGCCTTTCATGGAAGGCAGTCAGTACAGAAATGAGCCCGTGTATTCTTTCATGCTGAATCCAGACTGCTCTCCAGAGAGCAGGAAGGGGCTCACAACAGCATGAGGATGGTGCTGCTACTCTCTAATTATGTTATGAGTTCCGCAAGGAAAAGCTACTTCTAATCCTGAGCCAACTTCGGCTTAAAGCCCTATGCCAACAAGCATGAAGAAAAATTAACTTCTACATAAACACGTAATGGGAAATGTGCTGGATCCTATACAAAGCACGCAGTAAAGATGAACTTCCTAGTCTGGTAAAGATGACACTTTTCCGCACCTTAACACCAACTATGTGGTGGTGTAATTTCCATAAAACAGTAGGAAAGCTCATAAGTCTCATTCCTACCCCTGATCTTTAGTGACAAAAACACACAGGAAATTATTAAATGTCTCTGCTTATTTAGAAACCAGTGCCAGCACTGCTCTCTAACCCTAGAGAGAAGACACTACTCACATAATAAGAGTCTTAAGAGAAAGCATCTGAGTAAGCACTAGCTGCGGGAGTTGAACAGTGTGTGTTTGGGTAGCAAGTAAATACTCAAGATCACATTCAGAGAGGGAAGGGTTGCACGGCCCAAGAACTGTGCAGAAACAATCATGCATTTATACCTGTCTTCTTTCTCCTTGCTTCTTCCAACTTTTCATAGACCTTGAGCTCAATTCGGAGCGACTGCAGTAATTTGTCATTCTCAGAGAGCTGATGTTGCTTTACATTCGCTTCTGTTTGCAACCTGCAATGTTCCAATGAACCTCTGAGTTAAAAGTTAAATTCTTCTCATTCTTCATTTCAAAATCTGAAATCCATTCTGCTTCCATATTTTTCCCTTTGCCTTTTAAATATTGCTATGCACCTCATTACAGTAACGTTAGCGGCCACAGCTAAACACATGCACGTCACATTGCCAATTTTCTTCTCTAAATGAAAGTCTAAATGTGGACAGAATCAATACCTGTTTAATTCATTACGACTGCTGTAAATCTCACGTGTCAGATATCTGGTTTCATCCTCCTTTTTGCCAATTAGTTTTTGCAATCTTTCATTTTCTTTCTTGATGCATTCATAATCTTGGTGAAGATGCTCAATGATTGCATTCTTCTTAGAAATGGATTCTCTTAACTTTTCATTTTCCTTTTGTTTATCTGCAAGAAGAAATGAAAGGTTTTTGCAAAGCCCAAAACATGCTGAAGCCTTGCTTTCAACAAAATCAGCTTCTTAGAGATGGACAAAGTAACAGCTGCTCTTGTGAGCTTTAAGATTTTGATATTTTCTTTTTTAATTATTTTTGGTAGATGAATTTTCTGTATAACATTCAAACCTCAGGACTCTTGAAGGATTCAGTAAAAGAGATCAATAGAAAAACTGTGTACAACCTGATAAGACGAATGATCCAAGCACCTCTTGAAATTGTTCAGAAGGACAGGCTAGCCTCATCAAATAACAAATTCAACTTCCTTTTTAGGAAGGAAAGAGCTGACTAGGGCTGTTCCCATCTCTTTGTCCCCTGGTAATCCCTCCATCCTCTCCTTCCTGGCATTACATACCTGTGAGCTCTGTGAAACCAGTCCTTCTTTCCTTAGAAAAAGCAATTCACCCAAATTGATTCTGTGGCAAAGAACTGTTGGTAGGGGGCAACTACGAGAGAGGCTCGAAGGGACAAATAACCAAATTCGTGACCTTACGTTTAACATTTGAAAAGGAGGCTGCAACCTTGGCAAAGAAACAACAGAGAGGAAATGGTCCATTTCCTGACAGTTAGAAAATCACTTATCTTCAGACTTGTCCGAAGTGCATGAAAACCGTAATTCCCATGTGCTGCTGAACAGGCACCTCCCCAGCATTTCACCACTGAAGAGGTCAAAGCCTCTAAGTAGCCAAAGACTAGACAGAAAGCACTGGAGACTAAGGCAAGCAGGAAGCACTTACGAGACTTTTCCTTCCCCAGCATCTCCAGGAAAAAAAAAAAAAAAAAAAGGAACAGAAGCCAACAAACTCCAGAGACACAGAGACACTGGCAAAACTGCAAAACACTAGGCAGTAATGGGTTTTTTTGTTGTTTGGTTTTTTTAATCTGATTCATATACAAAAAAAAAACCCTGATATTGTCATACCATAGCAGTAACACCTTGTGTTAATAAAAAAGTAGGACTTGAACAAACTGTTAAGCACCAAGAAGTGCTAAACAGATGAGAAAATGCATGACCCAAAGAAGCATGAGTGCTTTTATACAAATAGGCTTTATGCCGCCCTGAAAATAAAGATATTTTTAATCTAATTTTAGCTTATGTTGCCTGTAAGAACTGCTAGTAGCTGATTTTCTTGGGAGAAAAATAGCATAGGCTTGTAATGTTCTGTCTTCACAGGTGTGAAGATAAGTCTAATGTTAACCTGAGAGATTACAGATACTTCTGACTGGTTTCTCTCAGTTCTGTTCTCCTGTAAAGTGCTTTCAAAAAAAAAAAAAGACCTGTCCAGTCAGCCCTCTGCAGCAGACTCCTAAACCTAGCAATAACTATTTTCTTTCCCTTTGCAATCCCTCTGTATTGATGGCTTAATTAGCAAAAATAATTTTAGTTTATTTTCCATATTTGTTTTTTTTAATGAGAACTTCAGGACAGAGGCAAGGGGAAAAGGGGGCAGGAAAGAAGTATTTAATAGCACAGAGAGAATAAAAAAAAGAGAACTTATAAAGAAAACATACAAAAAGAATAAAGAAATGAAAGCACATCTAAACTAAAAATGCAATGAATAAATGGAACTATGCTATGAAGGAACATTGCTCCATCTCCTTCACCACTGTTGAACCCAGTTTGAATGCTGTGAGTATAGAATTTGAGTAGGAAGAACAGGGGTCAATTTAATAAATAGATCTAGATACTTTATTGTTTGCTAATTTGGAATGAGTTGCAGTCTACTCCTGTAAAGCAGTTTTACATTTTACCTCTGGATCCTTTTGCTAGCATTACATTCAGAACTTGATTTTGCTTCCTCAGGAAATGAATTTCAGAAGTCAGGGAATTATGTTGTTCTGAGCCATGAAGAAAAATGTTTGCAGAACCTATAAATATATACATAAAAATGATTTATGAGTTATCTCTAGGTCATTAAATATTAAACTTTCCAGACAAGAACAATTTAAAAAATTGCAGAAAGAACATGCTATGGAATATATTTATCCCTTAGATATTTTGAAGGTTATCCCTACAAACTGAGAGGCAATTCAGGTTCATGCCAAGTGACTCAAAGCTCTGCATCACAAACACCTCCCATCACTCGCCAATCATTAACAAACCTGCAAAATTGCCCATAGTAGTTTTTAGCTATCAGGTAAAAACGCAGTGGGACAAAACACAGGAGTATTTTCTAGCACTGCTACTCCTTAAAAGTTTTGTAAACTGTACAAAGGTCTACAGTATTTTGTGAAATTCTTATTTCAGCATTCCACTGAAATTGAATTCTGTGTAGCAATTCAAGGGAGCAAGTCTGAGGACGCATTTGCTACCACAAGAACATAAAGCAGGAATCACAACACTCGCCTCATTACAAACTGAGGGTACATCTAGGATCACACAGATGAAGACCCATCAGTGTTTAATTTGGGTAACTCGGGCTTCCCCCAGGGACCAGGGGGAGAAATGGGCCCATCCAGCGCGCGGCCTGGGTGACGCAGCCCCTCCACACCACAGCGGATGGGTCCTGTCCTCTGAAGGGACAGGCTCCTCCCCAGTGCCACCAAGGGGACCCAGCACTGGTTAAGATATCTGACTTTGGGAAATTTAAGGCAAATAAATCCTATTCTGAGGATCTTGTGGCACTAATCATACAAATTTAACTATTAAATGGAGTGCCCAATTGCTTAATTTCCTGTTTGGGTATTCATCCCACAGTGATGCTTAATATTACACTGCATTCTGGAAGCTGCCTTATTCCACTCCCAAGGTAGCTCTTCTGGAATGGAAGTGCAGTAATTGTTATTGCCCATTATAATCTATTTTTAGTTAGTAAAATACTTCAGGAACCCACTGGAATTAACATTACTATTAAAAGTATGTTTCAGTTGATTGGTTATCCCAGTATCTACTACGCTCTAAAGCTTCAGAAACAAGAGTGTCAACTATTTGCTTGATAGAGAAATAACTGGCTAGCAAAAAACTAGCTGAATATATGAGGAGGATGCCTTTCAGCACTGGCAGTTCAATTCAATTTGATGTGCTGCACTTCCTCTGAGTAATCTCATTTTATTGTAATCCCAATTGAGGCTTTTACTCACTACCTAACTGGGATGTAGTGTGCCATGTTATGCACCTCTTGTCGTTACTGAAAGACTCAAAGGCTCTAGAAGCCTGGCACTAATGGCATTTTACTATCTATATGTTAAAGAGTTGAGGTAGCTACGTGAACTCAAAAGGCTTTTTCCTTTCAGATTTTAACAAAGCAATTCAACTTGAAGTGGCAAAGCTTGATGGTCTCATCTCAATTCTAATTTAATTTATTGCCCATCACCCAGCTTTATCCTATTTGAAAAGTTATGCTATCACAGTCTTCCTGAAAAGCTTTAGAATATAACTATTAGTTATCTTACATAATAAGGGATAATGTAGAGCCACTGGTAATAAGGCCACAATCCTGCAATTTGCCCCACTCCTGGGACTAGCACTTGTGTGCAGAGCCCTGCCGACATCAAGGACACTCTGCACAGATGCAGAGGTCCAACTAACCAAAGAGAAGTGGCACATCAGGACCTGCAACTGCAGTACCCTGAGCTCTCACTGCTGAAAAAGGGAGTGTGAGGAACTGTGCCTTGAGGGCTTCAAAGGAAACTCCAACCGCAAGACAGACGCTGTAGAAAATCACAGCGAAGGGGAAGGAGATAAGTACTCATTCCCAGATAAAATGAAATAAAGATGCACTAAAGCTGAAGATAACTCTGAATATATACCTTAGTTACTTATGGGTTATACAAACCAAATATAAAATCTTTCTAATGTTAACTGCTGTTAATAGCATTTGAAACCAAGGAAACTCAAAATTAAACCTTTGATTTTATTTTGAAGTCTAACATTTGAAATGATTGAAGCAATTATTTTACTTCTACTTGCACTTCAAATCTCAGCTTTATAGTAATGATGTAGTCATTACCAGCACTTTTGTCATTTAGAGAATACTAGAAGCCAAGAGGCATTTAAATATTTAGAAAATCTAAATACTAAAAGCAGCATGGCAGAAATAGTGGGTGGATATGTGTGTGTGTATACGTACAATAAACATCAGAGATGGGAATAATTCTACGTATTAAATTTTGTTGAGCAAACAACTCAAAAGAAAATTAATTTAAGAGGCTCTCATAACAATTAAGTATGTTACAATTTTGTTGTGTTTTTAAACGAAAACAAAGGGTATTAATTAAAAAGTAGAATATTGTTTTTAAAAATTATATTTCAAGGCTAAGATCCGCTTCAGTATCACACAGGAGTTGCTTTTTACATTGAAAGTCAGTAACATTTAGCTACTTTTTCCTTTCTTCCTCCACACATTGGTAGGTTGTGCTAGGGCAGCAAGACAGATGGAAGGCATAAGACAGTTTATAAAGAAAATATACTTTCAGTGGATTAATGGATGCCCTTGCCAGAATCTTTATGAAGTTGTAAAGGAGTCGGAACTGTTTCAGTGTGGTTATTTCATGAGAACCCCATGCCTTTCCAGCAGTGTAAATACTTCGTGAATGAAATGGATGCTTTTTATACACCTTTCCATCAGGGAAAATTGTTCTTGAAAGCAAGCTGCCATTTGTAGGTTGCATTCATTTAAACAACAACAGAAGTGGATCGTGAAGATGATGTAAAACATAATGAATCTAATGTCAATATTAGTGAAACCAAGTAAGAGGAAAGCATGTATGTATTTATTACCTGCTTCCACTGTGAGTAATATTGCATATTAATCAATTGTCCTATGGGAGAAAGTGTGCAAGGAAGAACAGAACAACAAAAAAAAAAAGGGTGGGAAAGCATAACTGGTGCTGTGTGCTTGAAAAGGTGCTACAAAAACCTCCTTAGCAAGAGCCTGGCTACCTTCTTGTGAAAAGCTTTAATTGTACCCCAGAGCTTGGCTTTCAAGGATGTTAAATACCAACCAGAGCGAGCAGTGACTCTGAATTTGCATTCCTATTTTTAGTCTTTTTCATCCACTAATGTATATTAGAGTTTGGAATGAAAACCATCTATGTTAAAATTTCCATCAATTTCTGTCAGGTATTTCTCATTAAAAACTCACAATGTCATTTCGTGTAGAACACATTTATCACACCAATCAATTCAAATGACAAGCTGAATACCACGGTCTGGACTCCATGTTCCATTAAGGCTATTTTGCCCCAATATGTAAGCACATATTTGCTTTAAAGCAATCAGAACATCCCAGAGGAGGAATCCCCAGGGGGCCTGCTGGCAGTGGCAATGTACTGACCACACCTGATAGAAAAGGAGAAGAGGTAGGAAAGCCAATTCCACAACATTCAAACTTTGTAACAATACAATTTAGAGCAAAGCAACTCCTCTGCTTATACCAAGCCTAGGCCACACTGAAATTATCTTGATACCAATGGCTTCCTCACCTGCAACTGCCCCTGACTGCAGTGGCAAATTAAAATAAAATGACATCCTAAAAATCAGAACAAAAAAACCCATATCAAAGTCCATTATGATCTAATAAAATCCAAAAGATAAAAATAACAGGACTAGAAAGGTCTTCCAGTTCTCTGGATGAAATTCAAGTATAGTTTCATCGAATGGCATAAAGCTACCTGCTAGCAGTTAAGTCCCACTTTCTAGGCAGTGTGTGCAATTACAGCTGTGAGGACATCTGGTGTATCTGCATCTGTATAAGGGGAACATTACATCTCTGTTTATGACACTCCAAAGGCAGTGCGGAAAAACGGTGCCTGCTGCTGGAACTCAAGATACAGCAGTATTCAGGGGAAAGCACCTCATTTTCCAACTGTAAAGGTTTGGGGTTTACTCGAAGGAAATAGACAAAAATTCCCAACAGATTTTGATCCTTCAGACTTCAAGCAGAAAAGGTGAATTTCATTCATGATGAAATAACTTCTTACCTTGATCGAGTTCTTTCTCTGTCACTTGTCTTTCCAGCTGCTTCCTCAGTCTCTCATTAGTTTTTATGGAGTCTTCTAAACGTTGTCTCAGGATTCGAATTTCTTGCAGATGCTCCATTAATAACTCTAAAGAAACCAAGAGATCACTTTGTCTATAGAATGAATTACTATATTCCTTGCTGTTGTGTACTCCCATCAGGCCTGATGTATGTTAGGATTAAAAAACTATTAAAAATGGCAGACATTAAATATCTGACTCTACAACAATAGCTTTTACATATACTAAACAAACAAACCATGCATTTAGTGAAATACATGCATTTAGTGAAAAACAGTCTTGAAACTCCTACATTTCAAGTAGGAGTTTCTACAAAAGTTCTACATTTTAACATACAAGAATGTCCTGATTTATTTTTTTTTAACTTCTCCTTCCTACAAAACTGTAGCAGATTATCATTGTGCTTAGTTAAAATCTTCCCCGTATTGGGAATTGAATCCACAGTTCTGAAATACAGCTTCATATTTAGTTTCAACACACCATCTCTATGCATTTTCCTTTTAACAGTAAGAAGCTTACTAGTATAACTCAGATATAAATTTGACTTTGAATTACACAATGCATGCCTTAATAAATAAATTTGTTCTATCAAGTTTCATTACAGTACCTTTTCCTTCTTGCTTTGCTGTTCTACAATTTTTGTTCCATCGGCTGTAAGTTTCAGCTTTACTCAGGAACTTATCTGTTCTATCTGTCACTACCTTATTTGTCAGTTTATCCATGTCACACACTCCTGGTTTAGTCTGCAATATTTTTCTCCTCAACAGTACGTGCTATCTCAGCTATTAAATTTTCATTGCTGCCTATAAGAAACTACCGCAAGCTCCACTTGTGCTTAGTGAAACTATCCAGGTCAAACATGACACCGCTTATTAATTATGCAGCACTTAGAGTTCTCAAGGAAACACAACACTGGCTTTTATAAAATTAGAAAATTTCTCTTTTTCAGTGTAATAATCTCTTGACAATTGTCTGTTTTCCTTCATAACTTGTCTATTTAAAGATCGTCTGGAGTACTGTAAAAGATGATAGTCTAAAACAACAAAGATGCAAAATATCATCCTTGATTGTATTTCAAACAGAAGGTAGTTCTAATCATTGTCATCTCTGTCTGCCTTATTACTGAAAATTGCAATGATTATAGAAGATACTGGAAAGCTGAAACAGACAAACATTCCTAGTTATTTCTTAATTAGTTCCCTTGTGTCTTATTTACCACATTTTCCCAATATCTAGTGAATCTCTGGGAAGAAAAATTTACCTGGGGGAAAGTTGTTTGGCAGAAGTGCCAGTATGCCATGTCCTTCTGCTAGCTCGGGTTTGTGCTCAGGTGATCCCAGAGATGACTTTTCTGACATATCAAGGTCAGACAAGCTATGAAAAGCAGACGGTATAGGTGATTCATCCTTGAGTTGCGGGTGCACTGTGGTGTTCTCCTTACCCCTTGTGTGCCAAACAAAACATTTTTAAAATACAAACGTGATTTTATTACTTTGGAAGCACGATAAACAGAAAGAGCACGGTGTCAAATTTACAGGACACAAGTAAAGCAAGAGATTTTGTGAGACAGAGGATGAAAATCCCCTCTACATCAAAGATGTGTATCTAGACTGAAATTCTAACCTCACTGAAGTCAGAAGGAATAATCCATGGGCCTCGGGTCTAGCATTCACATCCAGCACTAGCCTATTTTAAGTTACTTTTATGTCAAGGGAAGTGCAAGCTGAGGATTTCTGCAGCACCAGAGAATCCCAGGCTGGCATGAAGCCAGCGCAGAGCAGCATTACCACCACCTGCCCTCTTCACCTTCAGCATAAGGGGGTTTTGAGGATGAAGTGAGACCACACGGTACTGCAGTGATCTTGAGCCTGCCCCAAGGTCATAGGAACAATTAGGACTGCAATTAGGAGAAGAAATTAGGAGAAGAATTAGGAGAAAGCCTAAATATACACAGCATCAGTGCATCAGGGCACACTAGTGATTGCTTTCGTTGGGCTAATAACAGGAATAATCTTGGTAGCATGATGCCTCACTTCAGCCATTTGCTGAGATGGAGAGAAAAAAAGCCTTGAGTTTGTATTCTGTGAATAGTTTATTAACAAAATGGATATTTATGAAACAGGCAACATAAGAAAAAGCCCTTCTCAGAAAAATCATCCTTACCAACCTTTCAAGCAACAGTATATTTAACATTCAGCAGTGCTCTTACCTTTGAGACAATTCATAAAGTTTAGTAACTTCAGCACCTATTGATTCTCCTGCAAAACAGAAATATCTGATTAAAAACAGATATTGAAATTAATTCTTTTTCCCTTCTGTCTTAAACATTTTGTTGAAATATATAGAGTAGCAAATAAATGAGAATTTAGAGAAGTCAGATATTCACTACAATGTGTGTGTATTAATGCCAAATATCTTACATGAACAAAGCCATTTAGAGCACAGTAACAAAGCAGTAACTTGCTCTGGAGTTCCAAAAAATGCTTAAAGAATGACTGTGTGTAACATGTGCCAGATTTTATAGCCTTGCTGTTTTAGTTAACATGCAAATGTAAATCATTGTGCTGCATCACGAAAGAAGAATTAAGGGTAGATGCCATTACTTCTTCAATTAAAAAAATACATTAAAAAATCCAATTTCACTTGGATTTTGGCCACCTGCAGTCAGGTTAACCAACTGTCCTTAATAAACCGCACACACAGGCATTTGCCTGCAGTATTCTCAGGGGCAAAGCATGTGACTGTGAGCACAACCCAGTGCTAGAGCCCTGAGCTCTGGCTCTAATCTGAATAAGGAAATCAGAATTGTGTGGTGTCACCTTCGTTCCTCATATTGTAAAATTTTCCTGCAATTAAGCACAATCGGTAGGTAAGAGCTGCACAGTTGAAATTTCAGGGGAATGAACTGAAGGTCAGGATGGAAATGTAGAGACAGACGGTTGTTTATGCTTCTTCTTTACAGTCAATTCGTAGCAAGCTGAATGTTCTTTATAACCCCACAAACATCATTTTATTTTAAAGTGTGATTCAATGCAACACCATTGTGTTAGATATATTGAATTGTCTCAGTTGTCAGTGACTTTTCATAGTATATAGGATACCATCTGCTGTTTGTTTGTTTTTGTTTTTTTAAAGGCGTTTAATGTTTATTCACTACACAATCTTCTTATTTGTAATGCAAGGAATCTCTGTAGCCACTGAAATCACTAGATATACTCAAACTTTTATTATACTGCCATGACACACTAGCATTTATACCTTTTCTTCATACATAGCTCCTTTATATAAGCCAATCAAAACTGTAACATGCTGCCACTCTCTTTAAAGAAAGGCAGAATACAGATTATTGTATGCTGAGACCTGAATTTTTCTCAAAAACGTGATCTTCAAGAACCAATTTCCAGAAGATATAGGAGTCAGGGCCCCAAAGTGTTTGGCTGAAGATGTCCCTTTTGCAGCTGCCAGTAATTTGGGTCAGAAAATGTCACCCTTATGAGAATAGAAAAGGGCTTTCTTGCTGGGTTTCACTATGTCAGCATCCCTTTTCCATCACTTTGCCACTAATTTTCCTCAAAATAAGAGGCAAAGGTAATATGTATGACCCTCTTTCTTCAGGTGACAAATGTCAATTTTGATGACTATTTATGAAACATGGTGCCATTTTAACTCTGTTTCGAAAAACATAAACCTCCTCTTTCCCAACAAGAACATTTGACAACAAGGTTCAAAGCTCAGATAAAACAATTAGAAATGTAAAGAATAAGAAAGCTCCTGAGATGGATTCTTTGATGTTTAAGGCTCTGCCACTCCAGCTAAATGCTTTGCCCTGCAATGGGTAGGAATTGTGCTAAACAGCCAAAAAGACAGAAGTGTTTTCAGGTGTGTAAATGTCCATATTGCAGATAATATGCAGATTCTCTCTGATTGCTAAAAGGGCTTTACTTACTGGTACACATTGCAATATGTCCCTTCTTGGGCATAGACTTCATTCAGCATTAGTAATATCCTATCAAATAGTGTAGAAATCAGGGTGGTTTCTCTTCATAACTGATACTCCATAACTCTCCATTTTAAGATTCCTGCCATTGGCTACATAAAATTGGCTAGATGGACTACAACATGATAATTTCATCTTATACCTCAGCTTTCCATATCATATTCACCTTTCTTGCAAGTAGCTGCACTACAGGGGAAAAACCTTCAGAAACCTGCAATTTTTCTTTCTGTGTTAATGCAGATCTTGTTAAATACCAACTGTGAATTAAGCTAGTGGAAAGACATCAATGGAGATACCTTGAAATTTTGAGTGTGTTAATATATCTCAGAAAATAAGCTGAAAATGTTGTTACTTACCATGCAGGAATTTTCCTTCTAGCTTTTCAAACAATAGTACACTTTGATTTAGCTGTTCACGGAAGCCTTCAGCAACATAATAATCTACATCACTGGCCTGAAGCAGTTCCTCAAAAGCTTTAATGAGGCTGGTCAGATGTTGATGGTAAGTGACACAACTACCGCGGATCTCTTTAATTTGTTGACGTTGAAAGGAGAGTTCTCGAGCTTGTGAATGAACTAATGAATCATACCTGAGAAAAAGAAATTATCTTTGAAAGCAATTTTCTGACCATAAATACCATTCAAATATAAAATGAATTAAAATTGTATTTCTAAGCTATGATTTTGTGTTACACCATTTTTTTTCAGAAGGCTCTTGCAGCCAGAATGACAAATGTATTGTCTCTAAGTGTGGAATTTTCTGTTTGCAGGCATAACTTGTGGTTTATTATTCTTTAACTAACTGCTTCATTTATAAGACGGGCAGAAACTAGAACGACAAACTCGTTTGTTTGCCTGGAAGTAATCTGGATGGCATGTAAAGGTGCTAAAGGAAAATAAATGCAAGTGAATACACAAAAAGAACTTTTAACAATAAATTTGTTCTTCCTAACCGGTTCTTTTGATTCATTATAGGAGAGCAGATGGAACTATCCATTCCTTTGAAAGTTTCTGTACTGGCTACCAATAGCCCACTGTGTGATTTTCTGAGCTGATGCTTCACCCAGTCTGACAAATTCCAGATCTCTCTGTTATGTTGATTGCCAAAGGCAGGACCAGGACTTGGTATAAAGCTGGGATATAAATTTCAACTCAAGCCAACCGATTTCATTCTATACTTGTGAATATAGATGTCCTCTTCATATTGCAACTGGCTGTCTCTCTGATACACTTCTTTCTGCAGAAGCATACACATTATTGCAGGGAGAGGAAAAGGCAGAATATGCCTGAAAAATATCTGGAGAATTAAAATATAGGGCATAAATGAGAACTATCACAGTGTGGGGTGATACGGAATTCTTATTGTCATTTGTATAGGAAGAGATTGGTGACTTATACAGCTAACCTGGACAGTGGCAATAAAAACTGCAGCAATCCGTACTGTCTCCTTCCTTAATTTATACAATTAGATCTTATTTTGTAAGAAAGACAAAGCATATCTTCAAGGTATATAAATTTATATGAACCATGTATCGGAAGTGTACTTCACAATAGCAATATTAAAGAGATATTGTTGTCCTTGACGGCGGTTAGCCGTTCTCCAAAGAGGCTAAATTCCTTTCTTTGTCCACTGTAAAGTCCCCCAGGAAAGCAAAGACACTAGACTCAAAGTAGTTTGGTATTATGAGAACATATTTTATGCCTGTGATTTATATACATGCTATCCAAACTGCTGCTCTCAGTCTTTCCATATGAAAAGCAAGACTAATACATTACAGCCTCACACAAATGATCTGCCAGCTTATGAGTTTATGCTATAAAACTTCATTCATTAATTTCAATATACGTCTACCTACACGTCCTTCAAAGGAAGGTACTACTGCCCCAAACTGCAAAATAAATTATAACCAGAGTTTAAAATTCTTATTTTCCACACAAAGTGTGGTCAGATAAACAGAGGGGATAGCATGAATCTGTCAGCCAAATGCCCACAGAAGTATCTAGAAGTATTTCTGGTTTTGATTTTTTTTTCTTTTTTTTTTTTTGTCACTAGCAAAAATGATTAAGGAATGCAAAACTGTAATAGGCTGATTTTAGAGGTCATCACTTCTGAGAAAGCAACCTGAAGGGGGCTGACTCAAGGGACCACATCTTGCAGTAAAGGAAGGTATGGGCTTGGGGAAAAACACCTAAGTCCAACACAGAATCATAACAGAGCAGGAGATGGGATATTGAGAGGACGTCTGTAGTAAGAAAAAATGGTTTTTTTTACTTCAAGGCATTTTTTAACTAAACATTTCAGTTGCTTTATGTTAATGTTAGTGAAATTTAGACTTTATCACAGCAATATGCTTGTATGCGAATAAAATGATCTTCAGATTACCTTCCTATATTATTGCTATTGCTGTTTACAAAAAGGAACCTGAAACGGTAATGACATTACTCACTTGGATGGTGATGCTTCTCTAAGTTTGTTTTGAAGACGATACACCTCATCAAGAAGATGCAGATTTGCAATTTGCTCCTTTTCGAGTTCTGCCTCATTTGCTGATAGTACATCCTTAAGATTTTGTGTTGTCCATGTACCAGGTATTTCTGAATGCTGTGAATTCCTGTTTTCTGTCTGGATGTCATAATCCATCTGCTGATGTACGCTAGAATATGTTTTAGTTTCTTGCATAGCAGTATCTTGCGATTGTATCACTAGTTCTTCCACAGGGAAGGCTGTGTCACTCCAAACCACATTGGACATATCACTTGACAAAAGTTGGCTGGTGGTCTGTAAATTAAACACGAACATTTTGTACTTTGCAAGCTCAGACTTCATTGTCTTAATTCTTTGTTTCATTTCTTCTATATCATCTATGACTTCGCAGTCATCAAGTGCATGTGTACTTGTTACACTCAATTTGGGAGAAAGCAGGCTCTTGGAACATGGAAAAGCTGTGCCTGAGTCAACGTCCTCATGTTCCACGGAATAAAGCTCTTCATTTATCTCTTTTAATGAATGCTGGATACTCGTGTTGCTTAGGTTATGATGATTTTCAGTTTCTGAAAAACAGGAGGCTTGCATGTGAACATTAATATTTATCTGCCATTCTGTTCTTAACACTAGGATGAATTCATTTGCTTCCATAATGATGGAGTAAAAATGTAGAATAACTATGAACTATGCTATTCTTGTTTTGGACTTCTGACCTCTTTCTGTGACCTGCCTATTAATTCAACTTGTACATCCAACACTGTGATCAGCTTTCAAATAGCCAGTATTCAAAATAAATCTGCTTTCCTTTCCTAAAAGATTAAAACTAACATTTGCTATACTCAGTCCTGAATCAGAAACACTGTTGAAGGCCATTCCTTTTCAGTCACAAAGATGAGAACCTCAAACACAAGCTACTGAGATTTAAAAGGAGACTCTATGACCTTAAGTAGTTAATCCTAAGAAATCTAATTAAATATTCTTTTCCTACTCACCTCAAATATCTGTACAAACCCAACTGGGACATAAAGCCAGTGGAAATTTAAAAAGATTAGCAACAAAAGTTTAGAGCATTTCAGACCAGTTGGCCATTTTGATGCTTTCACATGATATATGTGTCTACCCAAAAGTGCTGTTTAAAATTATATATACTATTCTAAGATGGGAGTGTGAATTTCAGAGCAGCTTGAAGACAGGTGCCTGCAGAAAATTAACATGACAAGAAATGAACTGTTGACAGATATAATGTAATGATTATCCCCAAATACCCTTAAAAAAGATAAGCCAAAAAGGGGAAAAAAAAAAAGGAAAATACACAAAAAAATCCTAAAAAAATTCTGAAAGGAAATGGAAGAAATCAATTCTATTCACATTAAGTAGTCTGTATCATGCTTAGAAGTAAGTCTCAAACAGTGCGATGTAAAGACCTAAACCCATTAACAAAATTAAAATAGTTTCATCTATTCTGAGGTAGCTTGGCAGTCATTATGACTAATTTGGGGTTTTTTTGCTCTTGAATAAATATAACATAAAAACAAGAGATTGAAGTTGTGATACTGGGATATCAACATATTTGAAATTAAGGCAGGATGCTGTTCTATGCCATTTGCCGCATACTTTTTCATGTCATTTATGTCATTTTTGTCATGACAGAATAACAGGGTAAAAATGCTTCCAAGTATTCTGCTATGCACCAGAAACCAAGAAGATAAATGTAGTGTTTTTCTTATTCAGTGTAAGTTCATTATCTTCTGCTGCTTCTCTACGCGAAAGGCGTCATCCTTTGACTTTGCAGCTGGTTGCTGCAGCAAAAACAGATGTCAAAGGTGGTTGTGAATGCATATGAAAAAAAAAATAAATAAATATATAAATAAATAGATACTAGATGACGTCCTAAGCTCGTTAATCCTTATTTCATGCAAATGTTCCTGGTAAAACAAACAGGAAATAAAAACAGATACTAGGGAAGCAACGCTTCTGATTACATTACTGGCTTTAGTTTAATGAGACACTGCTTTTTAATTAAAAAAACTAATAAGCTGTCTATGCATAAATGTTTGCACGTACACAAAGTGCACACAAAGAACAGGACTCTGCAAACCAAGTGACTGGCTTCAATGAAATTACTCATGTGACCAAGAATTACCAAATTGGCCGATCACTTTGTGCTCCATATACATCAAGTTAACTACAAAATTCAAGTCATCCTAAAGACTAATAGAAATGTAGAAACACATAACAGCACTAAGCCAATTTACATTTTCATTAAGTGATTCCATTAGGTTTCATCGTAGTTGAATGCCTTCAAATAATTCAGATAAGCAAAACTCTATCACTCAATTGCTTCAAGCCGATAGTTCATAGCTAGATGCCGAAGCATAAAGTAACAAAGATCTAATTCAGAGAAGAGTTCAGAAGGGAGGACGTCTGCAGTATGGATCAGGGTTAGGCACAAAACTCATTATTTTTCCTGGAAACAAGCCTCATAAATCCCTTTGATCCTTCTGAAAGCAAAACCCTTAAAAGACTAACATTGGATTCTTAGAGTAATTAATCTGTACTAGCTAAATAAATGAGATTTAACATCCAGAAATAACGGTAAAGATGACAATTATCTGCACTAAATTACTTTTTTTGCACAACCTAGAAGAAAGCATAGTTTCAAAAACCTGTGTTATATTACACAATATAAATGCTCTACCTTGTTTTTTGTCCATTGCATTTTTGCCACTGGGATCAGATGCAGTTTCCTGTGACTCTCCCTGGAATTCACTGTTACCCAGTTTGGTCAATGGGTCGGCTGGAGAAAAAGGGGGTTGGGAGGGCAGAGGGATTCAGGGATTCAATAAGTGATTGAAAAATATAAGTGGGAATACAAAGAAAAAAAACCAAAGCCTGATGCTTTGCCTGACAAAGCAGAAGAGGAAAAATGTGGAGGGAAAAACAGATATATATAAAACATGCACACAAATGGTTCTGGTGATGTCAAACAGCTTTTTCACTTATTTTTTAATACATTATCTCCCTGTAAGGATAACTACTAAAAGTTTGAATGACAAAGGTTGCCTACCCAAGAGGAAGATCTTGCCACAAAATGTTAGTGTTGTGGCATTACACATGCAGGTCCCCTTTGTCATAAAACAGCTAATCAACTTGTAGTGCTGCTCTAGCAAAACCTCTGCAGCATCTGCTTTAGACTTTGGCTCACTTGATACCTGATTGCAACTTGCTTCTTGTCTTTACACCTCCTTTCTCTCCCACCTCTTCTTTGCATTTCTACTTTGCTTTTAATCTTGCAGCTAAATGCATTTTTTCAGCCCCCGAATCTTTATGTCATGCACATTGCTTTCTGCCTAACACTTTGTCATATTTTGCCGATCCATACATTTTGTGAAGGGCTGAGTTTAAATTAACCCAGTAACATTGCAACCAGACATGGATGACTTGACTGATCGATGGGATATTGGAAAAAGTTATTTACGCAGCATAAACAAATACAGTATTTTTATACTCCCCTCTCTCCATTAGAGACAGATTTCCATCAGTCTTAGAATCCTCTAAAGGAATTTTTTCATTTACCTGAACATTAATAAACACACATAGACGTGTGTGTACGTGTACATGTGTGTGTGCATACACTGTGAAACTGTCATTTATTACATAGTTTATGCATTATATACAATATACTTTCAAATCCATACCAAGCTGTATTACATTTTGGCTGCAAAGATATATTCAGCTAATAGGAAAAAAAAAAAACACCTTGAAGTTTTTCAAGATCTGTATATATTCGCCTCCCCAAGAAATTTGTAAGATTAAGTAGCATTGTACCTATGCTGAAGTGATCTGTTTTTACTTTTTACTGCAAGAAATGGAGCTAATATTTCAAGGAAAAACTGCAAGTCCTATCAGCTCTTTAAGTGAAATTATTTATTTACCTCTCACTGATGCACTTTCCTGTTCAGGCTCTTCTTGATGGTTTTCAGTTACCGTCTCACTCAATAATAACTTGCCATTTGTTTGTGGCTGCAGATGTTTGTTTTGTATTTCGTATGCTTGCTGACCAGCATCAAGTGCCACTGTGTGATGCTGCATTTGTGAGTCTGACTTCTGGGTCCAGGAGGTTAAAGGCACCATTCCTAACGATCCGGATGATTTTAACAGGATGGGCAGACGGGATTTCTTGGGCACGTACGCAGCATCAGGCTGAAAAAAGCAGGGGGTAAAATACAGGGCTGATGGTTGGTACACATTCAGGAAAAAGGAAATACAAAAAAGCATCCTAGGACAAACAAACAAAAAATCTAGCAAAATCAATCAGCTGCCATAGCACCTTGTTTTGAAAATCAGATTGCAATACCCTTACAACATAGAAAACAAATATTCAGAGGGGGGAAAAAAAGTTATCCCACTGGTTCCATTTTCTTGGAGTAAATAAATGCTGCTTATACACCCACAGCCAGACAGTGTATGGTTTCTGGCCCATGAACCCAGACAGTAAATTCACACCACCTACTAGCAAAGCCTTTAATCACTAGGGACATCAGTCAAGCCTGAATCAGTGAAAGCTTAAGGAAAATATTTTCTTACCCAAATTGACTTTTCTAAGTTCTACTTCTTGCTCTCATGGGTTATATCATAAATGTTTGAGAGCCTGGTAGCTATTATTATTATTACAAGAAGATCTTATGTCTTCACAGATTCCTGGATGCGTTTGCCTTGCTTCCAACAGGCCTTACTTCCTAACTGCCTTCCTTAATCTCTCTGAACAAACTAACGCAGCTTTGTGTCAACCACAGAGGAAATTCCTTCTACTGCAGAAAAGTTATTTGTGAATAAGAACAGCTTCTTCATCCAGATACCCTACACATTGCTTGCACAGGGTTCCAATTTCCTCCTGCAGTCACAGAAGCAGAGAGCAGCCGGAGTCCAACCTGGTAGACCAGGGTCAGCTGGAGAAGGTTGCTCAGGGTCATGTCTGGGCAACTGGTTCCAGTGTTCAACCACTTCCCAATGAAGTGTTCTCTTAGGTCCAGGTGAAATTGCCCATGTCCTGGGCAGTCCATCACTGGAGATGGGTGGAAAAGTTAAATTTCTCAGTGGTAATCAACATATTTTAGTCTGTCAACCTTTTGAAGACTCCACATAAAATAAATGTGGCCATGTTTAAAGCATACAGCACAAAACAGTGCTATCTCAAAAACATAACAAGCCTTCTATATGTTGATGAGAGTTATGAAATTGTGTATAAAGATAATAAAAATCAATAATAGCATGTTCAAATAGATTTCATTTGCTCCTCTGCTGCTCATTTGCTCTACCAGTGTCATAAGTCCCATAATTTCTTTTACCACCCAATGTATTCTGAAATACCTTTCCACATTCATTTCTTAGCAATTATAGTCTTTACACAATTTAAAATCATAAAACAGCAAGTTCCATCTTCCTAATGGCATACTCAATTCCTGTTGTACCTACAGAAATACAATATCATTTGGAGGCCAAAAAATAAAATTAGTTGGGATGAATTTCCTCCTAGTTTTACAATGATGCACCAATAATTTTGACATTAACAAAACCCATATTTCCATTATTGTTTTCTCTCCTTCCCAAGCATCATTTTTTTAAAAGGTGGAAAATTTACTGTCTGTAGGAATGCCTAAAAGACTAAGAATTTAACTGAATATCTGCCAAGCCAACTTACTCTAGCAGTTTTTGATTATATATAAACCAACTGATGAAGATTCTCTGTTAGCAATGCACAAAAGCAACTGTTTCCCTTGTCCTCTTTATAACAGCTAAGATCCTCAAAGAGTTTTCAACTTAGCTTCTAAAATTGCTATTGAAACAATATTGAGACAACATTGAACACTTCAATAGACAGTATTTTTACAATTCTTTGGAATCAAAGGCTGCATATAAAATTAAGGGTTAAAATGTTAACTGACACAAGCAAAGTAAGTCTCACAAAACAGAGATTCTGTGCACTTAGTTTCCCGTATAAATATAAATAACAGCATACAGCACTGCTGATCATACTTCTTGACACAATAAGATGTTAATAAAGGTAAAGAATTAAAATTCAAGTTTTTGGAAATCTATTCTTAACTTTTCACCAGCATGTCGCGAGACATTATGCAAGTCTTGGAATTTCCAGACCTCATTTGCCCTTTAGAGTTAATTAACTATCCATTTAGAATGTTTTGGTGCTACATTTTATGAGCATCGATACATAGATACAAGACGGTACAGAATCAGGCCATTAGGTTAAGATTTACCTTCTTTCCAATAGCTATAATATTTACCAGTATGTAGCACTAGTGAGGATTGAAACTCAATTAATTAATGTTCTAAGGCGTACTGAAGTATGGGATGAAAAGCTCTCAACACTGAGAAAAGTTATCTTAAAAATATTTGACACAAACCTAATTTTAAAAATTACACAAAAGCAAGGTTTAATATTAGAAATGAAACAAATTAGTCTCTTCTGCACATCTATCCCCTAACTACTAAAATCTTAAATAAACTTACTTCATTTGTTCTACTTGTAAAAAAGAGTCTTTCATGCTGCTTGCCCTTCTTGTACACATTTTCTTGCTGATGTTCTTTTTCTGTATTTAATCTTGAATATTTTGTTTTTTCTTCTGAGGATCCATTTTTGCCTTCATGTTTGAATCTCATGACATTATCCTCTAAAGTTTGTGTAGCTGCATCTTTCAATTTCACTTTCAACAACTCAATATCCTTATTAATCTCTGGCGCTGTATCTGGATAAAGCTTCTCTTTCCCATCAAAAGTTGTTTCCAATTGTACTTGCTGCTTTAAGAATTTATTGACCTGCTTGAAATGTTTGAGTTCAGCTCTTAGTTGAATAATCATTTGCCTAAGATCTTTTTCATCTGTTTTCTCTATATCTTCACTTGAACATTCTTGCTCAGTTGTGTTCAGATGATCTAACAGTTCATTTACCATTTTTATTTGTTCTTGTCTGCTATACTCAGAAAGGAGGAAAGAAAAGGCATGAGTTTTGATTTTTGTTTAAGCAAACATGAACACTTTCTAAGAAACACTTTTGCAGTATCTTGACATACTTGATATTCCTAGAAGTTTCTATTTTACACACTAATCAATTAGACCAGAGTTTTGGAAATCTTTTCACAGCATGAGCTGTATCATAAATTATCTCATCACTGCTTTTCTCCTGTTCATAACCACATGTACTCTACAGCCCCTTCTCCCATTCATGAGTAGACAGTAAATCTCTGGCAACTAAACCAAGTGCATACATAATACAGCAATGTCAGGAATAAGAATGGATTTTCAAAAAAGCTTACTCACTGATTTAACTATCTTAAAACAAAACTACGGAAAACACAGGAGACTCCAGACGTTGAGTTCTTCCGAAAATCTGTCCTTTCTGTCCTGTCATTGCACATTTCTAATACAATGTGGAAGCTGGAAACTGAGAAATCAGGCTGCAAAAGCAGCTCACTACAGACCAAAGTGCCCCACAGACAACCAGTGAACTGCAGACAACATTTTGGAAATCGATGTCTTAAACAAAACAGAAGTTAAAAGAACAGATGTTAACACATAAGTGCTCGAATTCTACAGATGATTTCATATGTCCAGTAAGAGCTGTTTGTGCCACTAAAACTATAAACTGGCATTTAACACAAATGCATTTATGTAGCTAGCGTTTGAAATAGTAGATGCTAACAAGGCTTTTTAGGCATTTTTCTGGCATTTAATGTTGTCAATGAGAATTAAGTTACTCAGCAGCACAAGCTCATCATCAGTCAATCTGGGCATTTATAGCTGAACATAGAAAAGCTGAGGGTGCTGGAATCACTCATTAGCAAACTTCTAAGTAAAGTCAACAAATAAAACAACATTATATATTCATTTTCTAAGTGGGTAGTATCTCCTCATTTACCACTAACTAGTGCTTTGATGACTAAAACAATTTATTACTCTTGAGGAGCTTTAAATAGTAATGTACAAATACAGAATTGGTTGAGTAAAGTCAAGTGCAAGGTATGTTGAGCACAGGAGGATTTGACTTGTCTAACTCCACAGGATATCCTGCTAATAGCATTGCTGCCACACTATGAATGGAAGTCATTCCCATAACTCTCCAGAAAAAAAAAAAAGAACACTATAGCTAGATGAGAGAACAATACTGAAGGACACTGAAAGAAGTCTCCCAATAGTCACCACAATCTGGAGAGAAGCAGGAAGGGAAAAGAGACTGAGCTCCAGCAAAGCAGTGATGCAGTATTGCCAGCCTGGTGGTTTAACTACGAAGTGAGAGGAAAAAAATAGGCAGGGTGTGTTGTCTCTATAGCCCTTTTCTTCCTTGGCATTGCCCAGCTCCTAGAGAAACGAGCAGCACAGCTGGGAATTATCAAGTCACAGTGACAACGGTCATTGTAACTCCTTTTACTCCATCCTCAGTTGCATACACACATTCTTTTTACAGCAACAGTGTCCCACACATATATGCAGCATTTACTGGCCTGTGTTTTCATATATTTTAATACTAAAAGGAAAAAAAAAATCAATAGCATGTATTATCATTTTAGCCTTTTAACTTTGCTAGTCCCCACACTGAGAATGATCAGTTCCTAGAGTAAAGCTCTGTATACCAATATCTTTGGAGAGTTTTTTTCTTGTAATGGTTTTTTCATAAGGATTTCTACTGATAGTATGTTTTCTAATTACTTAATTGCATGATAGACTAAAATGGATCTGAAGGCGCCTTGCCAATCTCTCAGGTAAATTAGACAGTGCCATTATCTAAATTCACTTTAGCAAAATTACTTTATTCTCTTCTCAAATAGAAATACTGTCAAAAGTGGTGCATATCCCTCACGCTTACCTGGATCCAAGTACAGATGTTCTATTTTCTCTTAAAAGAGATGCAAGCAAGTTTTTCTCTTCTGTTTCATGTTCGCTCATCCCTATTCTGCCAAAGTGTTTGCCAGCTGCATCATGTTCAAGCTGAGGCTTTTTTGGATTCCTATAATGTCTGTCTTCACAGAAGCTCTCTGAACAGCCTGATGGAGTTATCTGTTAAAAAAAAATTGCAAATACTTTCTTACTAGTCAGGTATGCTCTACTATATATATATGCTCTTTAGGTTTTGTAAATTCTGATGCCCTTTAACTACATTATGAAGCATATACAGACATTTCACTTGCTATTTATTAATACAAAAATAATGAACACCTATTCCATATGGTTAATTAAGAGTGATCACTTGTTTAGTAGTTAGCATATTTTCCTGAAGATATTTATCTGTGAATACTCTCCCACAGACGAAGTTTCTGGAATGTTGCCTTCAAGACGCAGCTAATATTTTTTTATTAGTTTATGTTGAATCACCTGTCTTTAAAGATCTGTTTTTTTTTCCCCAGGATCCGCCTTTCCAAGCCCTGAGGATAAGGACAGCATGTGCCTCAAAGTATGTAAAAACTGCCAACTTTTTGCCTGTTAAAAGAGCTAAGAAGTTTTTCCATGTGTTATCTCCAATATGTCAATCCTCATTTGAATCAATGAAAGTCTTTGGTATCAATTACATTAGAACTTAAAGCAGGTCCATTTGATACTCTTTACTCAGTAGACATTAGAAATGAGAGATTAAGGTGGGTAAAAGACAAGAGGATCTTTACATTGCATCATTTACCTGCTCATCCAGATCATGAGGACAATCTTGGAGTTCCTCAACAAATACTTGAGGCCGTATCTTCTAAACAGAAACACAGAAGTTACAAAATTTCAAAGAACAGATCATAATTCTTTAATATTAACACAAAAATGTGCCATTAGCATATCACCATTTTAAAACAATCATAGATATTCAACTTAGTGCTTTATGATAGCCTGAGGCCACTTGCAATCAGAATTACTTTATGATTCTATGATTCTTAGTGCTACACTGCTTGGGAATGATAAGAATATGCAGACTTCTTTAACAACCTACCATGACATTAAGTATTTCAACTGCAAAGAAGGATTCACAATATTTTCACTGATGGCAGCAAGTGAATCTTATACAATTTGTAGCACAGGCCTTCCTGCCACATAAGCTGAAGATTAGTGTGAGTTTGTCCGTGTGCATATGTGTAAATAAATACAATTTCAAGGGACTTTCTACGGGCCTCAGTAAGGAACTCTGGGAATCCTAGAACAGGAGAAAATAAGGAACAGGGCAGAAGGTCTCCTAGATAGAAAGCCCTAGCAGAAGGGAAATAGGGATGCAGGGAAAGTTTTCAGAAACTCTTTATGACAACTGTTAGTTGAAAGCAAAAGCAGAGAGCAAGAAGAGCAAGCTTTGCTTGTGAAAGGCTTTATGTTCTAAAAAAAATGAGAATTTGTAAAGGGAAAAGAAATCAATCTGTAAAATATCGTACTCAGAGTACGAAACATGGTGGTAAAAACATTTTATAATTATTTCAAAACAGTCCTACCTCACTGATCCTCTCAGAAGATTGACTGTTCTGCATCTTCTTGTCATTGTCCCCATCTTCAGTCTGCGTCACAGTCCCTTCTGGTATTTCAAGAAACTATACAAAGTATGGAATGATGTGAAAATGTAGCACACAAAAAAAAAAATACCGTGATATGAAACGCATAAATAAGTCAGTGACATGTCTTAAAAGAAAAATAAAAAATGCCTGTAATACAAAGTAACAAACACTGAATTAGATTTTTTTCAATAAGATCAAAGGAAATTAATATAAAACCAGGAGTGATTCATATTAAATACAGTGCAACCATACCATGCACATTCCTTCATTTTTATTTAACTCTCTTGCCTCTCTTCTCAAATTTGACAAAACAGATCATTTAACCACTTGTGGTAAAGGACTTCTATCATCAGGACACAGTCTCATTGTGCCTACTTGATTTTCACATTTTTGGAATTTATTTTCATACTCTACACATTTTAGGTTTTGCTCCAGCATCCAAGAAACAGACACTTTCTAAAGAAAGCACATTCAGCCTTCTACACCGTGAAGAGATTTACTGTCACACTGAAGGTTACATTCTGCTCTGTCTTATCTAAATTTACCATAGGAAAGAAAATGGTGCCAAATCATCTTCTTTTATTTGCCACAGAACTCAATCCTCCTATCCCTAATATCCCCCTATCTCTAATATTTCCTGTGCAAAGAGAAGGAGGAAGATACAGCTTTTTAAAAAGCAGAAATCTTAAGCTCCTGCCACAGCATAACTGAAAGCAAGACCAGAAATCCCTTTGCTTGGTGTCACCTCTCCAGGACAGAAGTGAGAGCAAGGGACAAGACACAAATGTTGTCGGTTTGTGAAGCAGAGGCCACTACTGCCTGAGCTTCAATTAAACCCAACTCCCAGGGAACAGTTGTAGCTCTCACACAGACTTACCTTCTTTTACTGGTTTGCTTCTGGCAACAAAAGACAGAATTTAACCTTTGCCTATACCTATTTATACCAGTGATAAGAACACCTCTGATTTACAAGGGATTGTTATTATCTCCAGTAGTCACATCCTGGCAAAGCCTCTCAAACAACAACTTGAAAATGAAGCAAGACTTTCACTGGCTTTGGCTTCCGTCACAAATGACCTGTATTTCCACTACATCCCTGTGGACAAGACCCTTGAAGCTGGGTGTCAGGAACAAGCTTCAGTCTCCTCAGATTTGCTCAGATATATCTAAGTACATAGTCAATACAGAAACATGCACATATTTATCCACATCCTGGCTACATTGTGGTAGGGTACAGAAAAAAAGGGGTGGTCTGGGGAGAGTCCACATATATACTGCAGTATTTCATTTTGCAACACATAACGTATTAGGAAGCTGTTGATTGTGAACTGAAGCAAAGGCTTCCAGAGCGATGCTGACCTGAGTCCAGCCATAAAGGCACTTGTTACTTATCAAGCTGAGAGAAATGAGCAATGGAATCATATTGGGCATCAATTCTGGCAGGTAGGAAAGGCCAGAGCATGGAGCTGGGGTCCTCATTTGACAGGATGCAGTAAAAGAAAAGGGAGAAGCACGAGACTGCATAAACACATACAAGCCACAGCACAGGCAGGCCTCTGTATCACCACAGATGGCATCCACACAGCTAAATTTGGGAACCCCTGAAATAGAATCTCAGCCAGATTGGACATTTATATCATCTTGTTTTATAGCAACATTTCTGGATCTAATAGAAAGAGATAGTTTTTAAAGATCTCTGCTGGAATCTCTTTAATAGTAGAAACACGTCAGATGATGGTAAATATCAGTGATGCTGGGCCTATGATATATATAAACCATAGACAGGCCACAGCACTGGCACCATGCATTCAAACTCGCATTAGATAAAATTCTTAGTTTTAAAGCCCTAATGGCAGTAATACAGCACTGCTGTGTGTAACACTAATATTTTGGCTAACTTGGACTAAAGAAAAATTACCCTAAGACAAGAAAAACAGAATATTGAGCATACTTACAGAAAATGCCGTAAATTGAGATTATAGGAACAGACAGTCTTAGATGATGCACGGGAAGGAAAAAAACCTGGTGTCTGGAGGTCACTGCTGGGATATTTATAACTTGGATGGATTTACAGTGCAGTGCTAATGCTGGTGACATGAAAACAAGGAACCTGCTTGCCCAGTAGCACATGCTGGGAAGTCTCAACGTGCTCCCAGCATGTTGACCTACCCACAGACACACAGTTCTGCAGGGAGAGTTATTTTTGCTTCCTGAGAAGATATTTGTTGCTTTGTTTTTTTTAATTAAGTTTGCATAAAAGGTGCATGCCTGTGTAAGTAAGCATACACATATATACAAAGAAAAATGAGAAGAGACATTTCACCTTCCAATCCTTAGCAGTATGAACAACTCTGAAGTTTATATATGTTCATTTTTATGTGTTATATCTACATTTAAAAAGGTAGAAACTGCCTGGTGCAGCATATTCACATATTTGACTTTTAGTATTAGAAACGTATATCCCAAGGTAGCCTATGATTCATGTTTGAATTATTTTTCTGTTTTCACTCAGAACTTGGTTTTCTAGGACGACACAAAGCAAAGATAATCTGAAAGCTGGAGGAAGACATAGATAGGACTGCAGTGCGTAGCAAGGACATGCATGACAAAATAAAATAACTTGGCTGTTACCACTGGACTTCAAAAGCCACGTATTTACTCACAATTTTTTAGGCAGGAAAGTATTAGTTATCGTAAGAAAAAAAAAACAGCTGAGGTTTAATCTTCAACATGAAGCTTCAGGATAAGCTCTAGCTTTGTGTATTAAACTTATTTGTGCATATAATTTATCCACTCAATGCTACCATTTTTTATGACTCAACATTTTCTAATTTATGCCTTTCCCTGGACAGTTTTCAGCTTAATATGTGATGTTTCCTACAATGAGGCTATTGCACAAGACTGACAGATTATAGCACGTTATTACAGCAACTGACTGCAGTTTGAATCTTATGGCCCTATGTCTAAGGGGCTGAAAAGAAACTTTCTGTGCTCCACAAAATACAGTCTAATGTTCAACAAAATATTAAAAGGAAATAGGTGGCTTAAGGCCAGAAAAAAGTCTGCCGAGAATAAGCTGCCTGTTTAAAATAAAATACTTCCTTGGAGACTGAAAACCTTGAGAATGTTTTTCCTAAATGAACCACTGATATGCTTGGTTTGCAAAGATCCCTGGAGCCCCGAAGGCTGAAATCAGTGAGGCTGCTTCTCTCAGAGAAAGCAGATGTTCAGAGGACAGCACAAAAACAACATTTTTCCTCTTCCCTCCCAACCTGAAGCCAAAAAAACAGACTACTCAGGGCTGTCAGACCTTTGGGAGGTGCCTGCAGAGGAACCAACACGCAACCTTATCCGATTGCACTCCAGCTCCACGAAGGAGGAGAGAGATGGGCTGATTTTAAGAAGGCCCCGAGGAGGAGACACCTTTCCGTGTCTGCTCACATTCCTCTTATAGCACATATGTTAGCATCTCTTCAGCACCACCTGCCAAAAGCTAGCCCAAAATACACACGCCAGATTAGACCTTGGTCTTTTTCGTATTGGTTACATGCACGCAAAATGCAGTTTCACAGTACCACGGCCCAGGAAAATACACTGCCTTTTATTGACAAGACTGTTAAAATGGTCCCTTTTCAACAAAAGCATTTAAGCACAGCTCATTTAATTTTTGAGCTCCTTTATACTCTAATCATTCGGGCACTGGCTTAAATACCATATTTTACTTTTCTCCTTCCATTACCAGAAGTTTGAGTTTTTAATATAGAGATGATTTCACCAGCTTCCCTCTGGATTATTCTAAAGCTAGTCATGTACATCACCTATATGCTCTTTTAATGCTGAAACAAATGCAAAAGGGCTCAATGTCTTGTTGTGATATTCTTAGGACAGGACACCAATTCCTTCTGTATTAAATATCCCATCCGTGGGGATATGTCTCCCTCTGCAGGACGATACACTAAATTACTAGGAATATTGGGATATGGAAAAGCACCCGCACTCTAACACAAATTGCCCACAAGCTTTTCAATGCAAAGCTATTACAATAACATGTAAATTTAGTATTTTAATAAAACCCATGCTGCCCGTAAAGGTCGGTCTATAATTTACATACTTCAATTAAGGTTAACACGAGTATGTATTAAATCAGAAAAGGCAAGAATATTTTGTGACTTCTGACAGTTGTTCCCAGCACGTACAAAAAAGGTCATTGCCCCCTTTTTCCAGATCCTCACAAAACAACCTGCCTGCAGAAAATCATCAATACAGTATTCACAGTTCTAGAATTTATTCCGCTCTGCACATAACAGAACCAAACTGTTCATTTCTTTTTATTATTCCTTCCAGTTTAATTCAAGATAGAAATAAACCCTTTTATTATTTCACTGTAATGCACAGGAATGATGTAGCACAAAGCAAAACACACATCATTATATAGAGAGAAGTATTATCAGCCATATTTCAAGTAGTACCTTATAACAAAGCAGAACGTTTTTTAGATGTCTACCATAGCCTGATAATCATCAGTCAGACCACGAGGCTCCATCATCCTAAACTCCTCATTAGAACTATTTTACACAAACTTCTCCTTCCCTATAGCTTCCCTATAGCTTAAGTAATTCTAGCTATGGGCAAGGGAATGGAACAGCCAGCACAGGCATGATCTCCTTGCATCTCTCAGCAATACACTGCAACGTTGGCTAGTCCTCCATATATGTCTATACGGTACATGGAAGCACAGACCTGCTTTTACAGGGCCCAAAGTGCTGTTCTTTCTTGTTTGACCACTGTGGGTCCTAACCCGTTTGTGCAGGGGGGAAGAGAGGGGTGCAGAGCAGGAAAGATTTAAAACTTTTACAGAATTGGACATAGCGTGACAAGGACTCTCGAGCAGAAGACAAGTAGATACTTAAGAACAGCTAAGATGCTATGGGAGATATTTCTTTGCAAACTAAAATCGACTCCTTCCTACAAAACAAACACATCCTAAACCCAATGTTGTTACCTTAAATCCAGCTAAACACATCCCTGAACACTGAGTACAATTGTTGTGCTAACCTCTTATAGTATCTAAATCATTAATTTTAAAGGTTATTATGAGGAATTAGGAATCTAAGCACCTAGGGCTTTGCACCCTGCATTGTCATGAGAGATTCCATAAGGTTTATTAGAAATAACGGTCAGATTCAATACTTCAACACAGAAAACATACCTCGCTACAGTTCAATATTTTTAGTGCTTCTTTCCCTTGAGAATCTGCTGTACAGAGTCCAAGCTGTTTTTTCTTAAGCTCTTGATTAATTGATTGCAGATCCTTAACCATCAGAATGAGATCAGTTACCTAAACAAGCAAAGAAAAATGGATGAAAACCAGTAAAATCCATCCTCCTATAAAATAAAGTGATGTGCAAATCTCTAGCTAAATCTAAATTCCAGAACTTGGAAAGTCTGGCCTTTTTCACATTATTCTTTTAATGTTACCACATATGCTCATGAGACAATCTCTCTATATATGAAAATATGAACGATTGTAGTTTCAGCCTTCTTAATAAGTTGAGGGGTCAAGATTCAAAATCCAGTAGCCAGAAGAAACTTCAAGGCACCTCATGCAAACAGGCTTACTTGAGAAGAAACACTTAGGTGCAAGGGGAATTTGCATTACAGGGACAGAGTAAAAACATTCTGTCCTTGTATCCGTATCTCTCTTTATAAGCCACTACCATTCTGAGGAATTTAACAGACATAAAATATGTACCTGAGTAGGGAATCATGAGCAAAGCTCTTGAACAGGCATTAGTGTCACAGACTAATGCAGTAAATCAAGAAGGCAATGTTTGCAGAAGGAGGTAAAATCTTTTTATTAGACCAATTAATATATTTGGAAGAAAAAAAGGGAAAAATCAGACCAGCTCTCAGGCATGCAAACCCCTTTTCAGGTAAGAAAAGGTTTATCAAATTCTTTTGCTAAGGAGCTTCCTTGGAACCACTGAAGGGAATATAGTTAGAGATAAAGGTGGCATAGGTCAACCATGGGACTGAGACAAAAATCTGGATGGATTTTCTTTTTTTAACCAAAACCTGTTTCGTCTAAGGCAAACTGATCTTCTTTCCTTAAGATTATCTATCTCAAAATTTTGAACACCTGCCTACAATTCAGCTGCCCACGAAAATGGATCAGAGGTCAATGCACAGGATGATGAGTTAGGAGAAAGAGTTTCTGAACTCCAGTGCTGACCCATTGTATGACAATAGTCTGCTCATTTAATCTCTGTGAGTTTCAATTCTCCTTCTGTAGGATGGTGATAATACCAATATACCTCAGAGATAATTTATAACATGACATTTCTCAAAAGATCTCCAAATCCTGAGATGCAGTGTGCTGTACAGAAGTATACATTATACCACTACCACCTTCATGATTGATAGAGGGGCATGAAATATGTGTTTTAGGTTACTCAATGCAAAAACTTTTATTTGGAATGGATATAATTCATGATGACTAAAACATGTTATTGGGTCTGCAATTTGATTCCCCATGTCTATAGTCCTAAAAATTTTGTAGTACCTCAGCTTTCTTTTAGATGACTCTGAAGCTCATGAGCTCTGAAGCTCATATTGTAACAAAAAAAATAGTTAATAAAAAGAGGATCACGAAGCAAAGATGAGAATTTCTAATCCTTTCAGAATAACTCAACCATATATAAATGATCAAAATTCTGTAAGACACAAACTATAAATGCAGCAGAACTAGGCTATTAAAAAGAATAAAGAATAAAACAAATTAGTACCTTTTTCTTAAGTTCTTCAAGAGACAGCTGGTCTATCTGTAGGCCTAAATGATCGTGCTCTCCTAAACAAATGCTCATGTAAGATGTTTGATCTCCACAAAAAGATAGTGTTTCATCTGTCAAAATAACCAACGATAAGAGCTGCTTCAGAAACTCTCTTTGTTTGCAGATAGAACTTTTCAAACAAGTGCATATTAGCAAGTCTAGGGGAAGTCAGTTAAACTTTTCACTCCCCCAAATAACTTTTATTTAGTTGAAATAATTTTGTCCTTGCATTTCTTTGTGTTTCTGACACCTAGTCATGCCTTGTTTTCTGTGGTTATCAGCATGAATTGTTAGTGTAATTCTGAACTATAATTTCTATATTTAGCATTACAATTAGAAATATATCTTTTTATGAAGGAGAAATAAGGCATGATTAGCTTGAATAGCTATTCTGTTTCCTGCATATTTTCATGATCATAAGCTCAAAGATCCTCCTCCAAAAGGGGAAGAACCAGATTAGACAGTTACTGACTTTATTTTGTTTCTGGCTCAAAAGATTGTATTTGTTGAACAGAAAATAGCTAGTTGTTCATTTCCTTTTTTAACAATATTAATGACTTATTACTTGTTTCAAGAGCACCTGTTCATTTATGGTTTGGATGGCAACTAATTCCATAAATATATCTCATTAGGTGGCAAGAAAGCATGTTAGAACAGAGACATGACATTCAAATTCTACTCCTAACTCTGACATGGATCTCATGGCAGCTACAAGGCCCAAAGTGTCACTAAGGATCAATGATTTTCAGGCCCTCCATTCCCAGGTGCCTCACCTAACCCGATCCCCTCCAGAACTGGACCTAGGAATATTCACAGGTCCCCTTGGCTTCCTCTTGCTTTTTATTATCTCTGTGCTTTGGAGGTTGGAAACTTTGAAATGGCACAAGCCTCCCTTCCATCATTTATCATCCCTCCAGAGGGAGGGATGCTAAAATTGAAAATCTAAATTGAAAGGGGTATGTGAACAGGCATTATTGCTACTATCCCTCCCCTGGAGAAGAAAAAGGTAAATGTGTACGGATCCGGAATACAGCCTTTAATGATGCCCACTTACATTCTGCTTTTCTACATGGCTTTCTACAAGCATGTATTTAAAACACCTCCAAAGAAACACTATAAAGATGCTAAAATGTAAGTTACATTTAAAAGTTGTGTTATTTCTGAATAAATTACAAAATAGAAAACTTCAGGCTATTTTTTTGTTCTCTGGAAATAATTCTTGTGTTAGAGTCTAACATTTCCCAAGACATAAGTTCTTCATTGAAGTGTTGCAAAATATTTAAATTCCATGGCCAGGAAGTGATCCCATGGCCACAGAATTATTCAAATCAGGACTTTCTGACTTCTGCAGAAAACAGTAAATTTTATGGGTGCAAAACTGTAGGCAGCTTGCAATGATCACTGGAGTAGAATTGCCATAGAGTTACTAGCATTTGCTTCAAGGAAAGAGAAAAACTGTCCCTCTGAATATGTCCTGATTGCTGAAAGACATTGTTACAAATACCTCCAGTGATTTTCAGTGCAGAAAGCAGACAAGAAGTCTTTTCACACCTTTATCTACTCTCAAACATTTCTTCTCCCTCACAGCAAACTGATTGTAATAAAACCAGGCAGTTTTGTGCAAAAGGTTTAACAGAAGGGCTGAGCTGGACAGACACACAGACCTTGCCGGGTTTTTACGTCCTTAATTTGATCTTCTAAGACCTTCTGCAGATTCCGATTAGCTAAAATATCTTCCTCCAGTTGTTTTCGCAACAAGGAAATGTTGTTTAGTTCTGTCTGCAAGCTGTTTATACTAAAGAAAAGCAGAAAAGTTATGAAAAAAGGATTCCTCTATGTATGATTCCTCTGCAAACAGCCTGTAAAAAATATATCTTTTAAGATCTAAATTGTCTCAATGATCTCAATAGGTTGTTAAACTCCAAAACTTACACATGGCAGTTTATGAACATGAATTAATTCCGTAAGCAATTCTTCTTCCAAGGTGGCCACTGAATGTGCATGCTTGAGCATTACCCTCTGCCTCTCTGTCCCTACAGTGTCAGCACATCTAGCTGTCCCCTATCTAGGTCTTGCCCCCAGGCTTCAACAACATCTATAAGACAGTTATGAGCAGTCCATAAAAAAAACTAAGTATATTTAAAAGGTGAATTTTTAATAAGAAGATATAAATTGGTTTTAATATCAAATAACTACAGTATTACTGAAGTGATTTTATTATTTTTGCATTTAATTTGCTCAGAATGTCAATATTTTAATACAAATTAAGCTGCTGATTTTCAATCCACTGTTCGAAAATGCCTAAGCATTGAGAAGTCTTTCACCAAAACTCTTAAATCCATTTTACAGGCAACTACATGGCAGCACCACATGCTGTAGAAACCCTTTAATGAAAAGGCAGCTTGTATGAAATGATGCTCACTTGGTCTCCTGACAAGCATGCTGCTGTCAGTGTTGCTTATGCAATAAATTATTGCCTTAACCAACTCTCTCTTGCTCAAGAATGTTTTTGAAGAGAGAAATCTCCTTAAATGATCAGTAAAAATTAAGAAGAAAAAGAAACATGGCATTTACACCAATAAGAAAGCTGAACTCTGCAGGCTGTGTAATTCACTGCTCTTCCTACAATTCCCTGCCTAGAAAGTAGAACTATTTGCTCTGCTCCTGTTCACACTGAAGCTCCTGTTACCTTGATGAGGCACAGTCGACTTTGGTAATATTGTGAAAGACATTTTAAAATCTCTGGAGAGTATTGTGATATCCACAGTTAGTCATTTTATGGCTGACATTGCTATATAGAGTCTTGACATAATCAGCTTACCCACAGTATGTGTTTCAGGCATAAATGAGCCTTCCTATGAAATCTCAAATCAAAACTCAAGTCAAACACCTTTGCTGATTATTCTACAGAACAAGGTGAAAACAGGCATTGCTCTTTTCCTCCAGGTAAGAAATAACCTCAATTTTCTAACCTTTATGCCTATTTCTAATGAAAAAGATTTGAGTATCAAAACTACCTTCTGAGCTGAGGCCAAGCACACAATGGCATTGCTACTCATGTGCTTAATCCAAATACCAGCTCTTTCCTCCTCTCCTGCTACTCACTTTATGGTTTGCAACTATATTGGTCTGCAAAGTGACTGCAAAACAAACACACTCCCACAAAGTTGGCAGTATAAGCCATTGCCTTCAGGCAGGAAGAGTTAGAAGCTGCCTCCCAAGTGCTGCCAATACCTAATTAAAATATTTATAATTATAACAGTAAAAGCACATTTTTATATAACAATCACATTTCTTTTACCTAAAGGCTAAGAATTTTACTTATTTTATCATAACAAACCCCCTCAACTGCCAAGCAATGATAGGCTACAAAGTAGGCCACAGATTACTGTGTTCTTTGATTTAAAAAGGCTGAAAAATCTTAACTCCTGCCTCCCAATACATTCTGAACGCTGTACATTGAAAATACACTACGCAATCATACATTGAAAATACACTACGCATCATAACACTCACACTGCCACTCTCATGCTGTACATTGAAAATACACTACGCAAACTTCAATTATTCTGTTTTGTTTAATCTTCTCCAAAACCATACTTGCCTATATTATCATCATAACACTCACACTGCCACTCTCAAGGTAGATAAAGATTATCTGTGTTTTTAAAAGGAAGAAATGGAAAATGGAATGACATTTTCATAATGTTTCGGCACCCAACAAATTCACTGTGGTTCAGCCCTTTTCTATGTTCCAGTGAACAAGTCCCAGTCTCAATAGTTAGTTTCCTTCCATTTCCAATTGCTAAAGAGGAGAAAAAACACTAAAAATAACTTTTCATGGACACCTACAAAAATATTTATTCTAAGGAGACTACAGTTATCTTGTGCCTTATTAACTATCACCTCATATTAAATAACTACCATGCCAGTTGAATTACACCTTTTTAACAACTTCTGACTCAGCCCCTTTGTGCTTAAAATATCTAGCAAAATAGAGAAAGCACTTACCTATCTGATTCTTTGAAGGTCTTCACTAAAGTAGAATAAATATTTTGCTCCTTTCTTAAAGCAAGGATCAACTTTTCATACTCAGATTCTTTTTTTTCCTATATTAAAAAGAATATCCATTAAACCCACAAGGTAATTTTTACGTTTGCATGTCTAAACAATGTGCACATCAGTGAAAGAAAAGGTGAGAGAAGTAAAAGTTCAGAAGTCACTAAACTAGCTCAAAAGTTGCTCACGAAGTTGCTGCCCACCTCCAAGAACCTAACGTAAATCTGGAAAATATTCATGCTACTTCAAAAAGCTGCTATTAAAGGAGGTTAATACTGCCCCAGTATTTACCTACCATAAGAACATAACATCTAAACAGCGACTCATCATTTTTCTCACAGTTTAAATAGATTTTTTTTGGCCCTGCATTTTCACTTTCAAAGTTTGTAAATTCACAGCCCAAGAACAACCTGGCAAATAGACATTTCAGAGAAGTGGAAGGAAGGGAAAAGCACCAAGCTCTAAGCACACCCTTTAGAACACTGTCCTAACAATCCTCTCCATGCTTTGGATTATATTAACCTTCTTAAGGGGAGCAGTTTCTGCAAATTCTGTCCCATTTCTGAACAAAAAGGATTGTAAGAAGGCAACAAATAAAGGATGAGCATGTCAGACACATATTCATTGAGTCAGCTTTCTAAATAATCAGCTGGGTCACTGCAAGTTGCTTCTTTTCTTGTGCCAAGAAAAGAAAATGATTTACCTGCAGTCTCGCTCGCAGCAGATTTATTATTATTATAATAAATCCAGACTCCTCACTAAGTGGCCACTGGAAGAACCTGAGATTTCTTATATTCCAAAACAAACACCCAGACAGTGTTTTAGAAGGAAGCAAAACTGCATCTTTTTAAATGAATATTTGCTTGCAGCCATTACAAAGAAATATGAAAGATATCATTCTGCTCAGAAGAGAAAAGCTGTGGAGTTTCTTCTGGGCATCTATAGGAAAATTAGATTTATTAATGTCAGACACTCTATCTTCTGCCTCTGTTTTGAAGAGTAATAGACCCTGTTGCTCCTCTCAGGTTTCCTTTCTGACCAAAAAACTGAAAAAAAGAACAAAAAAGTTCCATTGCTTAGGGAGAATGTGTATGGCTATAGCATGGAAAGATAACTCAAGAGAACAAGATGAACTCAAGATGAAATAATTCTATTTTCTCCATATTACAAGCTCAAGATTGGAAACAAAACTCTCAAGAGATACTGAATCATTAGTAAACAGTTCTTTAACAGGGAAGCAATCTACACCCAGGAGTTTCAAGCAGCTGTTATTACTGCAATTGCAATTCCTAAGGAGGGAATTGCAACAGAAATTCAGCTACAGTAGAATCTTGCTAATTCACACTAATGATGCAAAGACTCTATTAGCTTGAAAAATTCAGTAATCTGCAAAGTAAACCCTACAAAAGCAAGGACAACTGTTGTTTGCTTTTCATTATTTATGCACATTCGTCAACAGCGTGCTAACAAATAGGTAATATTTTGCAAATGTAATCAAGTTTCGATCAAACTATTCTGGTTAATCTGCATAGTAGATCTTACTATACTATGTTCTAAAAATCTCGTAGAAAAGCAAATATAACAGCCCGAGTTAAAGAATTTTATCAAAGCCTTTTAAGAACAGGCACTAAACAAACTACCGAGATTGCAATTTAATCTGGGGAAAGCTGGATCACTGACTGTTACACTGCTCAGTGACATAGAAAGCAAGAGAGGTAAATCTTGACTTACATTAGATGGTTAACAGTCAGCTAAAAGCTCTCCTGAACTTTTCATATGTCTGACATAAGCTCTTCAATTATCACTGAAGACATTTCCAAACCGTGTTCTAATTAAAAGCTTTTTTCTGAACCATTGGCAAAGTAATGTCACCCTGAAGACTGTATGGTACATAAATTAGATTACAGTCATCACCAATTTTTCAGGGTCTATGACCAGTGTATTAACAAAGCAATGCTAAGCAGAGGTTTCTTATGTTTCTTTTGGAATTCCCTTGTTAATTTAGTTTTAGTTTGCACCAAAATCTCTGTAACCTCACAAATCCTTCCAACTCTTTTTTTTCTGCATTATGAGAAACAGGAGCTGTTTCTTAAATCTGAATGTGACAAGAGCATAAATCAGGACTAGGACAAGTTGTTATGACTTCTAAATTGAACTATCTAGATAAAGGTTAGCAAAATCATGATGTATTCTGAATTTTCAGAATGTTCCACTAATAATCAGGATGAGAATGTCTCCTTTTTTGTAGGCAATTATTGTCACTTCTAAATAAAGTGCAGGACTGAATTATTCCAACCAGCTTCCCAAAGGTATACAAAACATAAGCCCGCTCTGTTACTTATATAGACCATAATGCTATGAGAGTTAATGAAACATTAAACCTCTTGACACATGATGTGAGGGAAAATGTGCTAGAGGAGATAGCTGCAAGACGAGCGGGACCCTACTGCACTGAAGGATTTATAACCCCATGAAAGGAGGCAATCTAATGCATTAAAGTCTATATTTAAGTTCAATATACTATTGTAAAGCAGCAGGGATAGAAAACGTAAGTTATTTTCATTAAAAGCTTCCTCAAATTGTAAGCAGTGGAAATAAAAGGTTTATAGCTCCACAATAGGTAACTTATTGGCAAAGTCACAAGAATATCCTGCTGCTTCACTGAATACTCTCTTGTTTACAACAAGCATATGGATGATTTCAAAGTCTCTGAAAAATAGTGGATGAATGATAGAAGGTTATAACCTGCATCTCAGCACTGATTCACCCACCACCATTTCTTCTACAGTTGCACTGAGCTACATGTATGTTCTTTCACAAATGAAACAAACTCACTGATAACAGTAAGATTGTCACACATCACCGAGTCATGCAAGAGAGTCACAGAAATAGCCCAAAGCTGACGGGTCTGAGCATCGCATGGCCCTCTTGTTGATACGCGAGGCAGAAGGGGTGGACACATCTCTAAATATCCCTTCATCAAGCCAACTTCTTTAAGATGAAGTTTCTGCTAATATGGAAATGGTGAGATACACCAACCCCATCCGTTCCCGCCACCAGGCCAAGTTCATTGTAATAAGTTAAAAGCATCACATTTAAAGTGTGTGAGGACACAGAGAGTAACAAAAAAAAAAAACGATTCTCATTTTCAGGTATAAACTCATCTCATCAAATCAGAAATTGAACTAGCTCCCTGTTTGCACGTTCCGTTCATAACATCGATTTTCAAGAGATGCGTTTGCACGTTCATAACATCGATTTTCAAGAGATGAAAGCAACAGCTGCCATGCGCTGATCACAATTTAATAGACAGGACACTTGCATTAAAAAAAGACTAGTTACCTCTAGTCATTGCTTTCCATAGCAAAGACGAGGTGGCAACAACGTCCAGACCACCTCCATGCCAAGAATTAAGACACGACCACAGTCCTGCAGCCACTGCATCAATTCCACCCCTCAGGACCCTCATGGACTGCAATGCTCTGGCTACATCAATAACTTTGGTGCATTGACTATAATTCTCCAACTGCAGCAAATTCAACATCACAGTTGCAGGCACACAGTATTCTACAATTCCCTGATTGCACAGGATTAACTCCCTAACTACTAGAGTAATTATAACCAAAGTCAAAAAAAATGTGCTGATTATATAGGAATTACAAAGTGCCTTGTGACTGCAGAAGCATCAGATTTGCCTTGTAGTCTATCAGCTAAATACGTTTCCTATTCCAACCTCAAGCAGAATAAAGACATCACAGAAAGTCTATATTATAGCAATTATAATGATTTTGTTTACACTTACAAAAATCAATTTAGAATTAAAACTCTCACCACTGTGGCTCTTTACTCCAGCATGTGCTCCATGCAAGATTACATGCACAGCATAACAACCCAGAAGCACAACTAAAGGATTGAGCAAGAACTGCTTTTCCAAATGTTGCTGCTTTTCTAGATATTAAAGTGAACGGCACAGGTCTAAAAAACTGCGTTAGACATACACTTGCCTAGCAAATGCCTAACAAATGTTTTGTGGATAAAGGAGTACTGGCACCAAGAGAAGGGCATTAAGTGCAAAACAAACACAAGTTTTCAAATTACATGGAGTCGGCTGAGCTTCTAAATTCACTGGCTCATGGCTAAATTCATAAAGTCCAGAATATTTCATTCGAGACTTCATAGATACCCGAGTCAGCAATTGCATGACTAACCTAATTATCAGCCTCTTGCACTGTCTTTCTCTCTAGCCCATGACTGTGGCTCAAGAATCCAAACTTTAATTAGAAACTGTCATTTATCTTCCCCGGCCTGGCCAAGGCACCCAGCAGAGCTTTGGATGTTGGTTGCTTTAAAATTTATCCTTACATTAAAACAGAGTAAAAAGGTATCATGAAAGAGAGAAAGTTCTGCATGTCTCATTTCAGTTTCTCCAACTTTACGGATCAGTGAGGGAGCAGAGGCGGTTTCTGTTCCCCGCCGCGGGGCTGCTCCAGCTGCGCGTGCGTGGAGGGCTGCGGCAGCGCCGCAAAGTCATCAAAGAAGCCACAGCCGCCAATGAGAGCATCGCGCCGGCTAATGTGCGTCCAAAAACTTGTGATTAATATGCTCTTACAGGAGGGGATCTTGTCTAGAGGTGGAGCGAGAGGACAATGGGCTGTGATTAGGCATTGTTCACAAGCACCAGGCGAACCAGCAAGACAGAATGGGTTGTGATTAGAAGGTGGATATTGGGTCATTACCATGCGTGGCTTCGCTTGCCGCTGCTACATACAGGATTGGAAGTGGGGTGAGGAAAGTTAGTGTTTGATTTTTATTAATTCTATATGATTTTCCACAGGTTGCCTTCATTACAAAAGCTCGATGAATGCATTGCCGTTTGTTTAATGGAAGTAAAATTTCTACCTAACCTTTCACAGATCTTATTTTATTTTCTCTGTACGTATGTCAACGTCTGCTTTGATATACTCTGCGCTGGATCCATGGCAAACCGTGAGGAAGTTCTGCTGCTCTGAGCTTGCCAAACAGGCTCTGTGTCTCAGAGGGGTCTTGCATGCCCCCTTCTGTGTCCATAACACATTAAGTGGCTCATTACACATGTTCATAATGTCACATAATATATAGGATTAACATTTCCTTTGCCATTGCCATTTCATTTTAAATATTCTTGAGAAAAAAATCAGTAATGACTGATAGATTATTAAACAAATGAAGGAGCTCCCTTCACTGCTAGGAAGTGTTATCCTAAATGAGGTTACTTTGCCTGATCCTTTTAAAGTTCTTAAAACACCAGGGTGCAAACAACAGAAAATGAAGAAATAACATATCTTCAAAAGTCCTTATTTGTTCTCTAATCTGTACACACCAATTAATGTTCACTGATGGAGTGAGCAACTTATTCCAACCCTTCTCATCATTAAGTCACCTTTTCTTCTTTGCCGATATAAAAGCAGAAAAAAAGAAATAAATCTATATATTAAGACTTCAAATTTTGACCTCATATTTTGAATACTAACCATTCTTTTCAATTTGTGCCACCAAATGAGCAGGTAGTTCCGC